GGTCAGTTCTTAGCAGCTGAGCCCAGGTTGGAGCTGCGGCTGCGCGGGGATTCTCTCTCGGTGACCTCAGAGCCCTCGTACCTGGGATGCTGGCGTGTGTTGTTTCCCGCTGTCCATGGAGCTTGGGGCGAGATTTAGAGCTGGAACGGACCCTAGAGGCAATCTAATTTAGCCCCCTAATTTAAAAAAAAAGATTCAAGTTCTGTTTTTTTCAGTGGACAAAAATCTATTTTATTTCCTTTCCCCTCCCCTTTGGACTAAAGGAAAAGCAAAATAAATATGCAAAACAAATTACTGCGTTAATTGCCCATGTCCAAAAAATGACTCATTCTGCATCCTGAGTCCCTCATATTTCTTTCAGGTGAGTAGCATGCTTTATCATTGGTCTTCTGTAGGTTAGTCTTTGTCCAAATCCTCACTTTATTTTTATTTCTTTTGGTTTTTGGTTGGGCAATGCGGGTTAAGTGACTTACTCAGGGTCACACAGCTAGTAAGTGTTATGTGTCTGAGGCCGGATTTGAAATCTGGTCCTTCTGAGTCCAGGGCCAGTGCTCTATCCACTGCACCACCTAGCTGCCCCCCAACTCCCTCATTTTAAAGATGAGGAAACTGACGCTGAGGTAAGGTGAAATGGGCTTGCCCAGATCACAGAGGTGAGTCTATGCCTGAACCTGAATGCAAAATCAGGTGCTCTGCTTTAGGTACAATTTTCTTTCTACTACAAATTATCTCTAAGGGAAGTATAGATTAGGCTCATTCTTTCCTTTTTACATATAGTGGTAGTGGAGTTAGTTGGGAAGCCTCTGATCAACTTCTTGCCCCTGGAAATTCTCGAAATGACATTAGATCTGGGAAGTAACAGATAATGTGGTGTTAAGGTATAATGAAGTTGAAAGATAAGCTTACACTTTACGTGAAGTTCTCTGATCAAAAATTCCAGTCAGCCATTAGATAACAAAAGATATTTTTAAAAAGTAGGCCACAGACTCTAGAAAGCAGTTGAATTGAGGCAAGAGACAGCTTTGAAGACTTACATGACTTTATGAAGAGAAATAGCCCTAGCAGTAAGGAATTGAGCTGAGGAGAGGAACAGAACCAGGAAGCCTATCTGAATGACCAACATGGATGCAGCACCCAGGAGCAACATAAGGATACTATGAAAACGGACATTGGGTCTACAGTGCCAGAACGCTGAGTGGCTTTGGCCACATTTCCAAAACACATTCCTTTCTATTAGTGTCTTCTAAGAGTATCTTCATCCTTCCCTATAACGTGGTGTGTAGTTGTGGGAGAGTATAACCAGGTTTAATAGAAAGGAATGTTTTGTAACTATCCTGTCATCCATGCCATCTCAGTAAATGCCTTTGCTTTAAACTAATTATATCCACTGGCTGACTATTAAAGGTAAGCATAGCAATGGGGGCTTGTAAGCTACAGTTTAGAGAGTGTGGATTCATAGACTACCTTGAAACTGGGAGTAGTTTTGTGTCTGGATGAATGGGAGCTGGGAGGATGACAGTTCCATAAATAGAAATAAGGAAGTTGGGAGAGGGTAGCTTTTTTGTAGAAGATGGTGAATTTGGGACAAGTTGAGTTTTAGCTATCAATACGGCATATGATAGAGATGCAGTTGGAAATGCAGAGCTAGTTTTCAGAAGAGAGATTATGGTTGAATATACAGACATGGGAGTCAATTTGGTGGAGGTGATACTTGAATCCATGGGAAAGTATGAATTCACTAATGGAGAGTATATAGAGAAAAAAAATTGTGTGTGTGTGTATGTGTGTGATGGACCTCTTTGGCAGTCTGGTAAAGCCTATGGACCTCTTCTCAGGATAATGCTTTCTTTCTTTCTTTCTTTCTTTTTTTTTTGGCTAGGCAATGGGGCTAAGTGACTTGCCCAGGGTCACACAGCTAGTAAGTGTTATGTGCCTGAGGCCACATTTGAACTCAGGTCCTCCTGACTCCAAGGCCAGAGCTCTATCCACTGCACCACCTAGCTGCCCCTCAGGATAATGCTTCTAAATGCATAAAATATATAGAATTAAAAAGGAAAACAATATTGAAATAGTTATCAAAATATTTTTTTTTAAAAGGTTCATGGACACTAGGTTAAGAACCCCTGGTACAGAAAATGAAGGACACAGACTTGTGGGACAACCACTCTTAGGAAGTAGAAGGAAGGTAAAAAATCGAGCATCATGATGAAAGCCAGGGGAGAAAATATCTAGGAGGAGGGGGTGATTAATAGTGCTGACGCTACAAGAAAGTCGAGGGAGAGGATTGAGAAAAAGGCTGTTGAATTTATTAAGTGATCTTTGAAAGGATAGTTTCTGTAGAGTGGTGGAATTGGCAAATGGCCAGGGGTTGAGCTGATGAAGAAATGGAGGCAACAAATGTAGACTCCTTTTTTGTACAGAGAAATGATGTAGGATAGCTTGAGGGAATGGTAGAGTCAAATGAAGGTTTCTTTTAGGATGGGGGAAACCTGACTTTGTAGACTGTGGGGAAGGAGCCAGTAAAGACAGGAAGACACTGATGATGAGTGAGGGAATGACTGATGGAAGACTTTTCGGGAGATTGGAAAGGTTATATAGGATGAAAGGTATAAGTATAAACAGAAAAGTGAGCCTTGGTAAGAAGGGTCATCATCTGAGGCTGCTACAAAGGGAGAAAGATGTAGAAAGATTTTGAGGTATGGAGACTAGGAGATGTGGAAGTTAATGACCTGGCCTTAAACTCAGTAAGTAGAAGGCAAGGCCATCTTTGGAAAAAAATGAAGTAGGGGTAGAGTTGGGAGCCTGAGGAGGAAGGCTGGAACAGCTGCTGTAGAACATACAATTGAGTTAGTCTAAGATGAAAAAATGGATTGTCATGCAGTGACACTTAGGTCAGATAACATGAATTTGTTGTGTATCTAACCCAAATGATTTTGTAACTTCCAGCCACGTTTAGTGGAGTAGGTGTGCTAATGGCAAATGGCTGAGGATTAGCAAGGTATGAAGTACAGCAGGGCAAGGGATTCCATAGTGGACAGTAGTTTAACTGGTTAGCTCTACAACCAGAGCTGTACCTGTAGGTCACTGGTTAGCTCAGGTCAAGACTGAAGTAAAGAAAGTGAAACCAGAATGAGCAGATCTAGGGTCAGTATCCCAAAGAGATCAAAGAAAAAGGAAAAGGACCCATAAGTACAAAAATATTTATAGCCGGTTTTTTTTTTGTGGTGGCAAAAATTTGGGAGATTGAGGGGATGTCCATCAATTGGGGAGTGGCTGAACAAGTTGTGGTATGTGATTATGATGGAATATTATTGTTATAAGAAATGACAAGCAGGATGGTGTCAGAAAAACCTGGGAAGCCTTATATGAGCTGATACAAAGTGAAGTGTGCAGAACCAGGAGAATATTGTACACAGTAATAGTAATACTGTAACACTAATCAATGGTGAAAGACTTAGCCACTCTGATCAATAACAATGATCCACAACAATTCCAACATGATAAAAATGCTCTCCAGTTTCAGAGAGAGAACTGATGAACTCTAAGGGCAGATTGAAGCATATTTCTTTTTCACATTTTTTCTTTTTCTTTTTGCTTTTCCCCACAACATGGCTAATGTGGAAATATGTTTTATGTGACTTCATATGTATAATAAGTATTGTATTTCTTGCCTTCTCAATGAGTGACAAAGAAGTTGGAAGGAGTAAAAGAATTTGGAAATGAAAGTAAGAATTAAAAATAAAGTTTCCTTTTATCTAACACCCCCTCCCCCGACCAAGAGCAGGCCTAAGATGAGTGAGACAGTGCAAGAAGAGGTGTTAAGGACAGGAGACTGTGATTACAGAAGGGCATTTCAGAGTTCAAAATCTTGAAGGTAGAACAATCTTGGTGGATAGTGAAGTCTAAGGTAGTTGAAAGTGGAGATGGAGGTTGTGGGAGTTGAAGAAGTTGATGAGCTGAAAGGCCAGAGCTTTAGGGCTGCCAACACGAATGTGAAGTCACCAAGGCTAAAGGAGTAGGTGAGGCGGAGAACCTAACTGTGAATCAGGTACTGCCCTCACTGATAGAGGAAGAAGAGACTTGAAGATTGGTAGAATATGGAAACAAAGATATGGATAGGGTAATAATGATAAAAGGAAAGAACCACAAAGTAGAGGGTATCGAGTGATGATGGCAAAGGGAAGGTTTGTACCTTGGACTAAGGTGCTGAAAAGCAAGGAGTGTGTAGACTTTTCTTAGTTCTGTGTGATGGGTGGCTATGAGAATTGTTGATTAATTATTGATTAGCTGTTGTCTTCTCTAGAAAGTCATATTTCTGTCCATGCCAGAAAATGGGAGGAAGAGATCTTGATGGAGAGTTTCTTAACAGAACAGGGGTCCAGGGAGCCCAGGGAAGTGGAGGGCAGAAGGGAATGGTAGGATGTCAGACTGCTCTGGATATGGATGCGTGAGAAGGAAGAGCGAGCGAGAGAGAGCAGTTTTTGACTAGTCCCTGACAGCTTCGAATCACAGGGACTGGAGGATCAGGAGGTAAGACTTTGTTGGCCAGAAGGAACAGGAAGTCTGTAGAGGCTTGTGGCCACTGTGGCCTCTAGGTTCTGATTACACTGTTGGTATGATCGGCCATCTTCTAGCTGGAACCCTCTCAACTGATTGTAGAAGGCTTCTGTCAGCTAAGAAGGGGCTGAGGGGAAGGAGGCTTCCTACTGACGGCAGCTGCTCTTGTCTATGTGGACAAAGGAAGAGTGGGCTCTACAGCAGCTTCCGTGTGTCCTCTGGACACACAGATAAAGAGAGTGCTAGGGGACGAAGAATGATGTGGGAGAGGACGAGGGATAGAGAGGAGGAAGCAGGATGCAGGAGACAGGACTCAAGATTGGGACCTGACAGAAGGAAGGATTATTTGGTGACAGGTTTCCGGATTTATGTACTGAGACAAGGCCCCAACCTGATGTTTTTGCTTCTTTCACTGATGACATGACCGACCAGTCTGGAAAGAGTAAGACCATGTAGAGTATTTTTATTTTAAAATCAATTACAATAAGTTACAGCATTTAGTAAAAAGCAGGAAGGTTTCTGGCCATAGCTGAGGAGGCAGAAGTAGAAGCCAAGGATGCCTAGGGGTGGCATCCCTCTCAGGGGAAAGGCCATGGAGGGCCCTACACTGAAGACTTTTTTCCTGCCTTCCCAAACTTCCTCACATGGGTACCTTCTGTAGTGGGCTAAACCAGAGCACAGCCTCTTCCCTCCCTCCCTCTCCATGCCTGGCTCTGGAGGAAGGGGAACCGTAGTTTCGTGGTCTGTCCCTTTCTTTCCCAGTGAGGGAGAGCACCAAGTCTTAGCCAGTCACTGAAGAGCTCAGGAGGAGCCTGTGTAAGCTGTAACAATATGGCCCCTCCTCAGAGCCCATTTCAGCTCTCTGCAGAACTTCCCTCTCCCCCAGAGGGGCCTATAGGGCAGGGATTCCTTCTGTAGTAGGCTCTGCTCCCAGCAGCCCGAGAAGCCACCTCTTTGGATGTCGTTCTGGAAGCTGCGGAAGCATGTCGGCTCTGGGCTTCCATACCACATCCGGGGAGGAACTCTTCTTTCAGGGCATATTATTAGGTAGGCACTGAACAGTGATTCACTTTTAAGCGAACTTAAATGACTAAAATAAGATATACCAAGAAACATCTGGTGCTCTTTTAAATGTTAATAGTGAAAGAAATGAAATGGATAATAATGAAAGCAGCAGTAATTATGTTCACATGTCTCCCAAGTTTGGAGGCCTGCTTTACAAAATTCCTCTCCACCTTCCCTCCAGGCTTCAACCTCAGTGAGCTCTGCCCTCCCTACAAAGCAACCTGAAGGGATGGATGATTTTAGCACCTAACTCACATATGAAGGGTTAAAACCAAAACCTATCTCCTAGCAAAAGGCTAAGTGACAGCCCAACCAGAGCTGTACTGGTAGGTCACTGAAACCAGGAACTGCAGACTGAACCACGGGGGCAAATGAACTAGTGCAGGCTTGCTGCCTTACAGCAGGGGTCCTGGGAGTCTGCCTTCAGAGACCAGCGCCCTGTGCATTTACATAGTGTGGTGGCTGAGAGGCAGATGGCCAAAGGAGGGGATGGTTTCCTGCTAAGCTACATCCTCTGTGCAAAATCACCCAGGAACCTGTGAAGGCAGGGCATAGAGAGGGCAGCTGTACCCCAAACAAACACTGCTTTAATAATAACTCCTGAAAATTATACAAGCAGAGGCAGACATGCATGATTTACTGTGTGGTTCTCTGAGCCTCGGGCACCAGGAGTTTCTGATAGCAGTAAGATTACAACAGTTTTGCTCCTCCGTGCCCCAAACAATTTTGGCCAGAGAAGTAAGGTGTCTATACTCGTTAGCCACTTGGGAAAAACCCTCCCTTTTCAATTATGCCTATCACTGATGTGGTGGAGAATTCTGGGCTTGTTTGTTAAAATAAGAAAAAAATTCTCCCATCTTGTGCCACAATGGTCCAATCTCACCCATTTACCTTCTAAAACCTTACTGTTCATTCACACGAGGGTCAGCCTGAAATGGAGGAGAGTTCATAGTCACTGGATGAACTAAACTGCCTTTCCATCTTCTTCTGATCCTTGATCTTCAGGCCAATATCCACCTTTTTTTCAAAGAAGTTCACCAGTGCAGTCTCTGTAAGTATGGAAGCCAAGATCTGCTCAAAGGATATGGACCAATCAATATCAATGGTGCTGCCATACCTGGAGGCAGGACTGCCTGCTTCACACCCCACCAGCACAGTGTCATCAGCAATGTCTTCACACTGCAGGGAGCTGGTGCTCACCATGGAATAGGAAGACATGGACATGTCGTCTTTGGTTTCATCATCTGACAACAGCTGGGAGGGAGATCCCTGCCCTTCTCCTCGCCCTTCCTCACTTACAAGTTGGTTCTCCCGCAGTGTCTTTGCGGACTGCATGTCTCCCCCAGCTTTATGTTCTGGCTCCACAGGGGAATGCTGCTCCCCAGCTGAGCTCTGCCTGTGTTCTGATGGGAGAGACTCTTCCTCACTTGTCAAATCCTGTTCATTGCTGGCTGAGTTGCCCTCTGGCTTTTTGTGGGGCCGGCCGGAGAATTTCTTGCCAACTTCTCCAATGCGGAGAAGGAGGCTGGCCACAGTGGCGATGGCATGATACAGCTCCTGTTCTACTGGGTCCTCGCTGAACATATTATAAAAGGTCTTGCACAATTCAATAAATTGTTCCTTTTTTTGCAGGGGAAGATAAAAGAAGAGACCATGGGTCAGAGAATGAAACAGCAGCAAGCTCAATGTAGTCACTTTGGTAAACCTTAAAGCATCAGAAAGGTGTGAGCTATCATTAGTATTAGAATTACAGAGCCTGGCCAAGTTAAGTAAGGACAGGGGACTCAGTAAAGGTTGGGTTTAGATAGACAATATGTTTTTGGTTTTTTTTTTTTTTGGACTGGACCTGTTATTTAATTGGTATAGGGAACTCCTAGTGAATAAATTCCTTATAACAGTGCAGGCTGTTGTCTGCTCTGCAAATTAAGACCTTAAGAGAGTTATCTGGGACCACTGAGAGGTTAAGTGACTTGTTCAGGGTTACAGGAACCTAGGTCTTCCTGCTTCTGAGGTCAGCTTTCTATCTATTATGCCACACTATCTCTCTGTGGAAAATGCTGTTCTCAATTATAGGATGACCACAATAATGTAAACAATATCGAAAGACTTCAGACCTCTGATCAATGCAATGACCAGTTGTAACTTCAGAGGATGGATGAGGATAAGGAAGCCTCTCATCAGAGATATGGGTGGATTACAGGTGTGGAATGAGGCTCACGTTGTCACTGTCAGACATGGCCAAAGTGTTGACTTATTTTGCTCTACTTTTTTGTTACATGGGAGGTCAAATGGGGGAACTATCTATGATGGGGGTGTGGGGACTGGGGAATGTGGAGTTCCTGGGAAGTGACAGTGATCTAAAAATTAAAGAGCATCAAACAAACATTTTAAAAAAAGAGGATATTACTCTTTAAAGATAGGGACACCAAAGTATGTGTGCCCTGCTGCAGGCAACCAAGGCAGCCACATTGTTGGAAAAAATCCACTTAGCTGGCTCTGGCTGCCAACATCCCTCACACTTGGGAGCTCAGCAGAGCCATCAGAGAGAGGTTAGGAGAAAAGAGACGCCTGCTGGGGTATCATTAGCACCCTGTGTGAATACTGGCATTTCAGATTCTGGATCTCTGTTACTTAAGGAAGAAACCTTAAAACCTTTCTGTAAGTGTGGAGGGCTAATGCTTGGGGCTGTTTTTGTGTCTTAGGATTGATATGAGCAATAAGATTCATAATGAGTCCACATTAGGAAACACGTGATTCTTGCTGGCCTGGCTCAAGAGGGTGAAAATGAGGCCCTCCTGGCAGGCATTTTGAGCTGTCTAGCCTGGTTCTATGCCAAGACAAACCGTCTCTAATGGCTGGGCTGGAACAGAGGGGTAGAATGGCAGCTTAGGAGGGTCTTAAAAGGCAGGGGAACCAAAAAAAAAAACATTCCCATGACCTCAGAGAAACCTTTCACTTTCATTCCTTCATTTCCAATACCTGCTAGCCAAGAGTAATCCATACCAGGGTGTAAGTGCCATGATAAAGTCACAGGAATGCAATAACCCCTTGAGAAGACCCCAGGCAACCAGGGCCATTATTTAATTGGCACCAGAAGAGCCCTAAAAGCTGTAAACAGAAGAAAGGGACAGCTCCCTCTTAGCAAAGGCAGGAAAACTGTGTTCTGGGGTGGGGGGGAGGGGGGAGAAAGGAGAAGAGTAGGCATACAGATTAGTGTACCTGAGTGTTCTACATTTAAAACTATACCGTAACAAATGTATTCCTAAGGGGTAAGTGAAAAGTATACCTTGGAGTAATTAGTATTAGAAAGGAATATGACATATAAGGCCAGAGCTGTGTCCGGAACACTTATCTAGTGGTGGGGAGGGAGAAGACCTCAGCCTGGAAAAGGTATGGGAGGAAAACCACACGGCTAGATCTGGGCATGGTGAGTTGCCAAATGCTAAGACATTTAATCTCATTTGTCATTTTCCCCAGAACTTCAGGTGCTTTTTACTATAGAATGCTAGGGTTAGATGAGGCTATTTAGTCCAAACAGGTCAGTTAGTTCAAGACCCTAATTTCACCGAGCAAGGAACTGAGCCCATGAAGACCATGGTAATCTCAGACCTCCTATAAGAGACAACAACAACCTTCTGAATCATAAAGCATGTCTTAAGCATGTACTTTGTCTCTTCTACTTCCTCTTTGACTTTCCTACCTGGCTCATTTTGGGAAGATCTTTAATAGTTTCTTTCTTGGACTCTTTCTCACTGGCCCACATTTGAAGGTAGTACCTGTAGTCTGGGGAGTTGGCCCCCTTCTCTTCTGCAAAGAAAGGAAAAAACAGACAAGCCAGAGGTTCTATAGGATACAGAAATTACTTCCATGGTGAACTGAAGGAAATCTAAAAATGATCATGGGCTGGAAGCTAAAGTTGCTAATACCAAGCAAAGTCCATTTAACAGGGAAAGGGCTATATTTCGGGACTCAAAAAAGTCTACAGTACTTTCCACATCTTTCAATAGTGTCTTTTTTCACTGTTATTACTGGGAGGACAATAGGTATCAGGAAAGGGGTGAATGAGTGTGTGTGTGTGTGTGTGTGCGCGCGTGTATGTGCACACTCGCGCACGAAATGTACATATCACACTGGTATTACTAGGTCATAGCTGACAATACCGTACATTACCTCTTTTATCTTTAAAGTCTCCACTTCTTCCTTCTTTTTCTTCAGGAGATGCAGCTTCTAAGCAGCCAGAAAGAAAAAAAAAATCACAGAATATATTTCTGCCATAAGATGCAAAATGAAAATTCTGAAATTTATTTTAGAAAATTATTTCTAGAAAATTTATTTTTAGAAAAACTTATTTTTGAAAATTATGTCAAAGCTTAGTTCAGTATCCTTATTGCAGAACTGGACCCACTTTGTTAACTCTATTTCCCTTTAGCAACTATCTCCCCAATTGCACCCCCCATACTTTATAATTTCTGTTGTACCCCTAGCTCTCCTTCCTATCATCTATTTTCTTTTGACCCTATGTCCCATCTTAGAAAGAACTCCCAAAAGCTCAGGGAAAATATCACTTCTGTAAATGATGAAACAAAAAAAAAGATGTTATTATAATCCTCTTAAGAATGAAAATCATGCTACCTTGCTCTTCATATATGAAGGATCAAAGAGGCCATGGGATGACATGGTTTCAGGGGGAAATGGGGTTCCTATGAAAACCAATGCTCTGTTGGGAAAGCTGAAACTCAAGGAAATTTCAATCACCAATTCAACCTGCATTAATATCCTGGCTGATAAAGCAACACGGTAATAAAGGCTTGTTGACTGGCTGACAGTACAGCAAGAATACTGTACTCAGGGTCCAAGCATCTGAGCATCCATCTCAGCTCTTCCACTTATTAGCTATGTGACCAATGGCAAGTCATTTGACTTCTTTATAAAATGTGGGTATAGACAAGATGATCTCTAAGGTCCCTTCCAGCTTCAACCTCCTGTTCTATGGCCTAGTACACATGACCGGTATTAAAGTTTCAGGTTTCTGAGGCAATTTATTTTTTTGAGTCTGTGCCAGGAGCAGGCTGCGGCTACAGAAAGCTAACTTTGAGAACTGGTACTAAACTGGATAAATGCAGGCCAACCAAATATTCTACCCCTACTGACTTGGCTAAGACAGTGGTACAGGAAGGTGGAGCAAGTAGAGAGCTTCTTCTCCCCGTCTACTAGTTGAATATGATATGAAAAAGACTGCTCTGGTTTGTCTGGTTTGATATACGTGGAAGTATGGCCTTTCAACCTCAAAATTCATATATAAGCAAATCATTCAAATCAGGTGTGTCCCAATGTCATGCAAGCTGTCTTATAATTTTACCAGCCAATTTGTGTGAGTGCTGGTTGCCATAAATAACAACATTAAGTATCCCTAGCACCTAGCACAACGGAATATAATAGGTGCTAATAAATGCTTGCTGAATTGAATTGAAGTAAAGATTGTTTTATCATTTCCAATTATTCCACCCCATTTCCCTAGGAGACAATATCATCATGTCCATTTTGCAGATGGGAAAATGAGGGTGTTAAAGGTTACTTTCTATTGCCTTTGGAAATAAAGTGTGTATTAGAGTTTGTAGCAGCTCACTTCTGAATCCTGCTTAACTCCACTAGGTCACATTCCTTCTCTTACCATGCATCAGAAAGGCTCAAGCACCAAGAACATTACATGCTAGATAGATGTGCCATGAAAACTCTTACATGATAAACCTACAGAAAAGACTGACAATGATAATGCTTCTTTAGGGATTTGTGTTCTTAGCACAAGAAGGCAGCACTCTGCCTGGGACTGACCTGGAGTCTCACAGTGCAGGAAGAGATCCAGGTCTGAGACAAAAGGAGATACTGAAGCGTCCAGGAGGGAGGAGAAGGGATGGAAAGAAGAAGAAAAATTCAGGGAATATACAGAGACACTGAAGAATCCGAAATTAAGAAAATAGGAATAGAAATGCCAATGAGTGTCTTATGCAAACTGCTGAAGCAGGAAAGGCAGGTTTTGCCTCAAGAGCATCTTTCTGGAGCCCTACAACATGTGGGCATGTGCCCTGGCAAGCAGCTCCTCCTGGTGGGGAGACTCTTGTTTTCACAGGAAAGTTCCTTATTCTCCAGGGAGGGGGGCAATACAGGTAGCAGCAGTGCTCAGGCCCTGACAGGCTGCTGGGGAGCCCCAGAATTACTGATGAAAACATGTCACGTGCCCCTCAGAGCCCACCTAAGGCCTCCTGGTCTGCCCTTTTCTGCTTTCCTTACCTTCTGCAGAGAGGTCTTCTGGGAAGAAGTGTGTCGCCTCCAGAGCGGACTCCGTTTCCTCTGTGCTCAGGGCTGGGCAGCAAGAGCAAGACGGGGTGGGGAGGGGAGAGGGAAGAATGAAGTGGTCATCTCAGCACTCCTGTTCCTATGGTTACTATGGTCATTTTCAACATCATCAATTAAGAAACTGAACTGAAAAACACATCCTGGCATACTCTTCTAGCAGCTTACAAGGAGAGGAGAGGAAAGGCTGAGCTCCTTCCTCCTCTTTCTCATGACAAGGAGAAAGCGGCTGTGGCTCCTCTTGAAACACCTCAAAACAAAAGAACCAACGAACAAAGAGGTAGCTTTTCTCCTCGCCAGGGAATTCCTTTACTTATTCATGCCTTTGATTCCATCCCCTCCTTTTTCCATTGGAAGCCTGTGCTATGAATCTTCGAACTTCCTGCTATAATCTTCAATTTTCCCTTATCCATTGCTTCCTTTCCCTGCTGACTGTGTGTATCCTTCCTCTTGGAGCCAAATTCCTAGAAAAAAGCTGTCTGTCTATATTTGTTGCCTCCAATTCCTCATTTTCCACTTCTCAAGTGTTTCCCATATGCTTCCAACCCTGACACTTGACTGCACTTACTCTCTCTGAGGTTGCCAATGATCTCTTAACTGCCAAACCCAGTGGCATTTTTTCCCCGCTTTGTGAGGCAATTGGGGTTAAGTGACTTGCCCAGAGTCACACAGCTAGGAAGTATTATGTGTCTGAGGCCACACTTGAACTCAGGTTCTCCTGACTCCAGGGCTGGTGCTTTATCCACTGTGCCACCTAGCTGCCCTTCCCCCTCCCCCTAGTGGCCTTTTTACTGTCATCATCCTTCTGGACTTTTTTGTACCTTATGACCCTGCTGACCACCCTATCTCCCGCAGCCAAATTATGCCTCTACACCCTTTGCTTTCATGACACTGCTGTCCCTTGATCCTCCTGTCTGACCATACCTTCTTTTCTTTTGCAGGATCATTCCACACCGGAAGAGTGGGTGCTTCCTGAAGCTCTGCCCTGGGTACTCCAGTCTTCCCTCTTTATACTCTCTGGGTAATCTCATCAGCTTTCAGGGGTTCAATTATTATTGCTATGCAGGTAACTCCCAAGTATACATATCTAATCCTAGTACCTCTCCTGAGCTCCAGTCTTGAATTACTGTCTGTTTGATACCTCTACCTGGATGTCTTACTGACGTCTCAAATGCAACATGTCCAGAAAAGAACTCATAATCTTTCCCCTTAAATCCACCTCTCCTAGCTTCTCTATTTCTTTGGTAGATAACACCATTCTTCCACTTGCCCAGGATCCCAACCCTCTCCTCCCCCACAGAGCCAATCAGCTGCCATGTCTTACTGACTCTCCCTCCACAAAATCTCTTGTACTAATCTGTCTCCTCTTCTCCACTTCCACAGCACCTTTGTTCAGGCCCTCATTATATGAAGCCTGTACTACTGCCACAGGCTCCTAACAAACCTCCCTGCCTCCAGTCTCTCCCCTCTGTCAAGGACAGCTGACCACGCCACTGCCCTCCCCAAGAACCTCCAGCAGCTCCTTAGTGGTTCCAGAATAAAACCCAAACTGCCTGGCTTCACATTTACAGTCCTTTACCTACTAGCTCTAGGCTAACTTTGTAGACTTATTATTCCTCATGTACTCAATTTTCTATACTCACAATAAATGTTTGCTGAACTGTATCATTAAATTGAAGTTATCCACAATTCCATAAGGTAGGCAATGCATGTATTATCACCCCAGTTTTATAGTTCACGAATCTGAGGCTCAATGAGGGGAAGTGACTAGGAGTGGCATCCAAGTTGTCTTCTTCCTCTTTTTTTTTTTTCTTTGCTTTTTTTTGGTGAGGCAATCAGAGTTAAGTGACTTGCCCAGGGTCAAGTGTCTGAGGCCAGATCTGAACTCAGGTCCTCCTGACTCCAAGGCCGGAGCTCTATCCACTGCACCACCTAGCTGTCCCCATCTAAGTTTTCTTACACAAATCCAGGCTCTTTTCAGTACACTATGTTGCCTTACAATATATTACATCACAACAAGGTTGTTAAAGTCACAGTGGACAGGAAGGGATTTAAGACTGGCGTCATCAACATTCTAAGTGGTGACAAACAGCTGTGCAATCCCCTCCCTTTTAAATTTATGTTTAAACAAACTGTGGAGATTGGGTATATTTACTTACTTAAGAAAAACCTAAAGCTGATCTAAGCCAGCTGAAAAGATTTGTGGAGGCCGTAACCCTTTCTTGGCTGAGGAGTAAGCACCCTGGGAGTACAGATTCACTCTCCAGAATGGGGACAGTCTCATCCAGATAGACTCTACAGTGTATAAGACATTCAAAGAGTAGCCTAAGCCCTAAGACAGCAAATAGCATAGAATTTCACAGAACGACACCTAGGTTACAAGACAGCCAAAGTACTTCAGCACAAAACTCACTTCTCCCTCAAAGCTGGTCTGTCTTCATTGTCACTTCACATTTTGCTACCTCAAAGACAGGGGGATGCCCTGGTCCCTTCAGGCCATGGAGACTTTCTTCCCAGGCTGGGATCTTGTGAGGTTGCTGAATAGAGCTGAATGAGTTCTTGTCTAGGAAGAAAGTTGCTTTGTGCCTCTTTTCCTTGCACCAATGTGAAACAATCTGAAGGCCCTTTTCTTTCCTAGGGAATGCTCTAGACACCTTGCTTTTGAGGCTCTGGAAACATTAAGTAGGGCCTCAGGCAGCAAGCTACAAGGCACTCAGAAAACACTTAGCATGGGCTCTCATACCAGAAGCCTCCACTTGGATAGAAGTAAGCACAGAGTTATCCTACCTGGAGGAAGATGTAGCTTGTAAAGAACTTTAAGCTTCTCTGTTAGGTCTCCATGATACATCCCACCTATTTAGAAAAGGAAGGTAACATTATCCAGATTGATTCACAGAGACATCATCAGGCAGAATTCAGAAAAGCACAATAGGGTGCAGCCATCACTTCAAAGAAGTGTGTCTAGTGGCATGATTTTATCTCTTTATCCCGTGAATTATTCAGGAACTGACATGAGACAATACTGCCTTGTCCTCTACCAGCTCCTGTGAGATTTAACTGGCTTCTACATCTAAAGCTTTGGGCTTTTTGAGAGATTAGTAACTACTTAAGTACAAGGTGGTAGCCTCATTAGCATTATTACCACATTCTCTCACCAGGCCTGCATGAAAAACCCAGTTTCTATTCCTAGTAATTATTACTAACTCACCGTTCCCTTTTCCAGGCTTCATTTTCAACTGTATAATGAGAAATTTGGAAAAAATAAGGGTTCCTACCAGCTCTGTGATTTATTATGTACTATTAACAGATTTGGGAGAGCAAATAAGCCCTAAAGACACTTACTCATCCCAGTCACAAACTCCTTGAAGTTGATGAGAGAGTCCTTGTTTTCATCCAGAAGTCTGAACATCCGTCCAGCCAGCACTGGAGTGTGAGAACCACAGGCCCAGGGGGTCAAGCTGACAAAGAGTTCCCTGAACTGGTTCCCATCGATTCTGTACTGCTCCAGATAGGGCAGGCTCTGGTCCCTGCGAATGGCTGCCATGCGGTTATTTCCCCAGTAACAACTCATCAGGTATTTGGCCTACAAATGGAAGGAGTGGTTTATTGAACTGAAATCTTTGTAATGCTTCTAGAGCACAGATTCTTAACCTTTTTTGCATGATGGACCCCTCTGGCAGTCTGATGAAACCTATGAACCCACTCTTGAAAAGTTTTTAAATACATAAAATAAAATACATAGGATTACAAAGAAAACCAATTATGCTGAAATATAGCCATATATATTAAAAAAAAAACCCCAAGTTCATGGACCCCAGAACCTCTGGGGATCTAGGGACAAAAACAAATATCTAATTTAACTGTCATCCTTGTTTACCCCTATATTGTCTTAGTATAGTCATTTTTGTCTGGCTGTAGGCAGATAGTTAAAAGAAAGCAGTGGGAATATGGAGGTAGGAGAACAGAGCTCAGGAATTACTAAGGTTCACCATGTTTAGGCTCATGTATAACATGAAGTGAACTGAAATAGAAAGATGTGTAGTAAATGGACAGCTGGCCCAGCGCACCCGATGATTAGCAGGACTCCTTTAAGAGAATCTCTCCTTTGGCAGAAGGCCTCTCTGCTGCTCTACTTTGGGAAAGTAGATTTGATGAGGAAAACCAGGAAAATTCGCTTTCTGAGTCAACAAAGATGAAATATGCAATGCCCATTCTAGAATCTTACCTTAAACACCATGTAAAGCTCTTCTAACTCTTCCATGGAAAAGCCAATGTCACTAGATATAGCTCGGACCTTGAGGTAAAGAAGAAAATGAATTTATTGAACCTGAAGTAGGCAGAATCATTTGGTTTTACGATGGTAAAAATGAAAACCTTTTAGAAAACGCAAAACATTTTCATTCCCAGATGTGGGTATAATGTAAGAGGGATGTGTTTGTGTGTGTGTGTGTAGAAAAGACAAATGTGGATTAATACCTGAGTAGGAAATCTAAGTATATGGCCATACCAAACCAAACATCTCCAATGGATTTACACATCAAAGTATGGTAAATGAAATGAAACTGGCTAGAAGTTTCTTGTATTTCTCTTCAAAAAGGGGAGGTTGGGGTCCCAAAGCTAACAAAGCAGTATGTTGCCCAAACTTTTAAATTGGAATTTCCTAATTCTTCCCGTGTTACATCCAAGAATGAAAAAAAGTTGAGGTAATGATATAAACTGGAGAGATATGAATGACTGACTACTCTTCACCACAGCATGTATAGAGAATAAGTCGTGGTCTCCTTTACTGCTCTCAAGCACAAAGAAGGATAACAGCGGTATCAAAGAGTACAAGTGCTTGTCACAGATAGGAAATCCTAGGCTTCACAAGGCAGAGAGACTTATACCTGCCCACCCCAATAGAATGGTAGAAACCAAACTCAAGTTTACTGCTTCGAGAAGAGGCATAGTTATTTCTGGCCTTAGCCCAGCAACCAAGGTCATACAGAAACTCCAATAATTGACCCAGCTTATTAGCCATCAGGCTGAGAACTAATCAGAGCTAAATCATCAGTGGTACTTCCAATGCTCAGCAGTTCTCTCTACCTGGGCGGGGAACACTCCAGGAAAATTCTAGAAAGGCAGAATTCCTAAAAACAACATCAGCAAGGCTGTGATGATTCCCTGATGAAAGCTTCTGGATGAAATCTGAGGTTTCACATACCACACTCCTTTTCGCTGTGTCCTCTAAGGACTGGATGACTTTTAGTCTTTGTTTAAACCGCATTTGTTCAATGTCCTCTCCTCTTAAACTGTTAAATTTCTGGAAAAAGAAACAAGTCAATTAAATACCTCCAGATAAAAGCATGTCAGCACCCATATGCCAACATCCAAGTCAGTTAATCAGGGTGTATGTACGATTGTTAAACAAAGTCAAACCTAGTGTGGTTCCTGACCTCATAGGATGTTTTCAAGAGTTCAAAAATATCGATTTCAGGAGGAGGCTCATCCCCACTGGTGAGTAACGCATGTAGGTGTGGGATAGGGGGAGAAACACTTTGCTTATTCACCACATTATCCAGGTATCTGTGATTAAGAAGGAGGAAAACATTTATCAGTTTAGAAAACAGTAAGTGAGAATAAGAAATAAGCAAAATCAAATGGAAAAAGCTCCTTTGGGGGCCTGTCTTTGGCTACTCACTTATTTTTCATATATGCTCATGAAATGGACACGTTCAAGTAGACTACTGGGAGCCCTTCACTGGGTTGGAGACATCTTCCTTCTGAGTCAGAGAATTCCAATGCTTCATAACACTCTTAGAAATTTAAGATGCAACAAAGAGTCTATAACTCTAGTTTAGCTCTATTTGCCCTAAGAGGAAATCCCTTAGTTTGATTCCCTTGTTCGACCTTTTGGTTCAAGGAACCCTGGCTGCTTCATCTCTATGATGACGAAGGCAGGGATGAGATACACAACTTGGACCACCTATCTCCACTCAACTTGGAAGCAAATAGCAATCCAGAAGTGAACTGCCACTTTAAAGCCATAGCAAAACTCAAGACTTGGTTGCTGGGAGACAGTGACACATACAGCTGAACGCAGCTGGAAGAAGTCATGCAACTGTGCTGAGGCTACTACAAACCTATGTTCTTTAATCGTAACTATGCCCTCCCTGCAACAAAGTCATCCTTCTACTCCTTCCAAACTGAGTATTTACTTCCACTCTCAAAAGCAGCTATCCCAAACTCTCTCTTCTCCCCTCAAACCTCATACTTGAGACCTGGCCTCATATTTTATCTAGAAAGAAGCTATTTGCCATTAGCATCCTCTTCTTTCATCGACTCTATCTCCTTGACACAATCTTCTATTCTCCTCCTCTTGTTCCAAGCTCTGATAAAGAGGAAGGAAGCCCTTTTCCTTGCCAAGATCAATACCTTTACATACTCTTTTTTTTTGTGCTTTTTTTTGTTGAGGTAATCGATGTTAAGTGACTTGCCCAGGGTCACATAGCTAGTAAGTGTCAAGTGTCTGAGGCCGAATTTAAACTCAGGTCCTCCTGACTCCAGGGCTGGTACTCTATCCACTGCGCCACCTAGCTGCCCCTTAAACATACTCTTAATCTCCTCTTTTCCTTCCTTTGCCAGCCAACTGTCCTGACAACCTTCCTTTGACCCACTCTTCAACCTTTTCCTATCTACTGGTTTCTTTTCTGTTATCTACAAACATACCCAAGTCCTTCTTAAAAAAACAAACAAAGAAACAAACAAAAAACCAAACTCATTTGACCCTTCCATCCTCTTAGGCTCTGTTCATTGCCAAAGAACTGGAAAAAGCTACCAATACTTCTTGCTTCTACGTCCTTTCCTCCCACTTACTTTTTAACTCATCGAAATCTGGCTTTCAACATCATTGCTCAACTGACACTGCTCTCTCCAAGGTTACCAAGGATTTCTTAATTATTAAATCTAACGGAATCTTCTCAGTCCTCATCCTCCTTGACCTCTTTGTGGCACTTGACACTGCTGGCTATCTTCTCCTCCTGGAAAGCATCTCTTTCCTGGATCGTCACAATACTGCTCCCGTGGTCCTCCTTCTCCTCCTCTCTGCTGCCAAAGTGATCTTCCAAAAGCACAGATCTAACCAGGTCACCTCTGCCCCCTCCATAAATTCCAGGGTCGAATATAAAACCCTCCTGTGGCTTTTAAAGCTCCTCATAACCTTGCTTCTTTCTACCTTGCCAGCCTTCATACATTTTCCTCCCTTATGATTCAGCTGCATGGGCCTTCCTGCCGTTCCTCACCCACAACACTCCATCCTCCTGACTCGATGTCTTCTCCCTGGCCGTGCCTCATGCTTGGAATGCTCTCCCTCCTCACCTCCATCACCTGGCCTCTTTCGAGCCTTAACTCAAGTCTCACCTTCTGCAAGAGGCCTTTAACAGTCCCAGGCCTCCCCCTCCAACTGCTAGCGATTTCCTTTTGAGCTCACCCTCCACTTCCACTGTACGTATCTCACACATACGATTTTTGTGCATGTTGCCTCTCCCCTTAGAACATGAGATTCCTGAGGGGAGGGATTGTATTTTTGCCTTTCTTTGTATCCCCGTTGCATACTGCAGTGAATGGCACATATTAATTGCTTATTGACTGACAGACATGTCTGATTATTTTCATTCACATCCTATCCCCTAGCTGTGGCTGTAGCCCAACGATCTACCTTGGGACCTCTCTCTCTATAAACTCTTGGTTACCTCACCAGTTCTCATGGATTTAATACCATTTCTATATATCTATATATAGATCTATATATCCAACCCTAATCTCTCCCCTGAACCCTATTAGATACTTCAACTGGATGTCTCATAGGCATCTCTAACTCATCATGTCTAAAACATGACTTGTTATCTTTTCTCTAAACTCATCTCTTTTTCAAACTATTCTATTACTGTCAAGACCACTACCATCCTTCCATTCACTCAGGGCAACAACCTCATTGTCATACTCGACTCTTCGCTCATCTTTACTCCATAAATCCCTCCTCACCCTGGTGCTGCTTCACTTAGAAGGTTGAGAGTCAAGCTGGAAAGTACCTAGGTGGAGAAAGGTGGTAAAGAAGTGTGGCTGGTGCTCCCTCCTTCTCCTCCTTTCTATTTCCTACTGCTACCACCTAATACACCAGGTGGTCAAGGTTCTCCACAATCTGATACCACCCTACTTTTCTACTCTCATGTCTTATTATTTCTCCCATACATGATATGTGCCTTCCCAACTAGATCACTCTCTGACCCCCTCTCCCCAACAGACCTTGCCTTTTCCTATTTTTGTACCTTTGCTCTTGCTATTCTTCATGCTTGTAATATCCTCCATCTCCCTCTGCAACTATTAAGTCCCTATCCATCCTTTAAACTTAAACTCTACCTTGTCCAAGAAACCTTCTTGGTTCCTCCATCAGTAATGACCTTCCCATTTTGACCTCACATAGCATTTTATCTACACTTCCCTTATTATGTAAGGCTACGTATTTGTTATTTACATTTGGGTCTTTACCCCTACACTGGACTGTCAGCTCCACAAAAGCAGGAACTGTGCTTTGCCTAAACCCTGCATCCTTCTTACTGCCTAGTTTGTGTTCTGCATAGCAGATACTTAATCAATGTTTGCTGAATGAATGACTGAGGCTGGGCAAGGCAAGGCTTCTATGTTTTCCTAAAAGAACTTATTCTTGCCCAGTGGTTTGCTCTCATAACAGCAGCCCACTTGGGCAAGTGTGGGACCTAAGAAGCATCAGAAAACAACTTAAAGAACCATAAAATGTTACAGATGAAAGAACTGTTAGAGATCATCTAGTCCAGCCCCCTTAATTTTGTCTTACCATCAAGCAGTTATCATAGCATTTAGAAAGATCAGTGAACAAAACATATCAACCCATTGGCCATGTCTGAACACGTGTACTCTCTACACATCTATGAGGGTAGCCTGCTTCATAAGATTGGCAGGCTAGTCAAAAGATAGGGGAACCATGAATCACCTGCCCAGAACTGTCATGGCTTCACCTTCGTCATTGCAATTCAATAGCTGCTCCATGTTGGCATCCAGGATGGCCAAGGAAACCTGCAAAATGAGCTTGATCCCCTCGTAGAAGAAACAGTCAACAATGACCACAGCGCTTTCAAAAGGCATAACACTGAGGAAGAGAGTAAGAAACCAGGAGAGGGAGATGGTGGAAATAACCCCTAGGTCCTGCATCTTCTCTGAGAGCTGAGGCAAGAATTCCCTTGTGAGCTCTTCAAAGATGCCTTGGTCCACAAGTGCACCTGAAGGAGAAGAAAAGGAAGCTTATGGTGAGCCAGAGTATCCTTCATCTTCTCTGTGAACATGGGTTAAGGATATTCTTATCCTGGGACAGATTTTTAGCCAACATCATTTATAATTTATAATGTAACAAAAGCCCACTAGTTTGGGGCCCCTTTACTACAATCTCTGATTCATAGTAACCAAAAAATGATTTCCTTCCTTGCTAATATTCTTTTCTTTCTTTGGTATAAACACTCATTTTCTCCTAAAACTCTGAAAGAAAAAAGAATACAATTCCGTTCTTAGTGGCACCTGGGTAGTGCAGTGGATAGTGCACTGGGCCAGGAGTCGGGAAGTTCAAATCTGGCCTCAGACACTACTAGCTGTGTGACCTTGAGCAAGTCACTTCACTTCTGTTTGCCTCAGTTTCTTCACATGTAAAATAGAAATAATAAGAACACCCACCTTCTAGGGTTCTTGTGAGGACCAAATGAGAAAATATGTGTATTTCACATTTTCAGAATGTCCAATATAAGAATTCTGTTTTTAGGCTGGCGGAAACTTAGACCTGAACAGTTCCTATTTGTAGAAAATGGAGTTTGTATCTAACCAGTTTCATCAACAGCTGCTAACTAAGGGTACTATGTATATATCTGGCATTTCGTTAGATAGGAAGAGGATTCTATCATTAGTGTCTTCCTTTGATGCCTCATTGTAAAATAGTGGAAATCATGGGTTTTCAAGGGCTAGGCTATTGGACCTAAGCTTGGGCAGGGAAAGGCTTTGAGGATGGGTTTGACGACAAACTGTCTGTCATCCAAGGACCAGCTGAATTAAGTTCAGAGAGACTGGCCACAGGGTGATGAATTTTTCCACCACAGAAACTCCTAAAGGCTAAGTCCTGGAGGAGTGTGATCTATAAAGGGCACTCCCATGTCAGTGAAATCATAGCTCTTTAAAGTACTACAATATGGATGGAGAGATTACTGTAATAAGCACCCCAGACATTTGTATGAGGTTTCTGTGGTTTTCAACATTCTTTTTCTTCTAGGATATTATCTGACCCTTAAAATAAGCCCGTGAGAAAAGCAAGGCAGAGATTACTATCCCCATTTGACGGATAAAGATCCTAAGGCTCAAAGAGGTGAATAATTTGTTGGTAAACAGTCTGCCAAAAAGTTTCAGAAGCAGGACTAGAATTCAGATCTTTTAACTCCTTTGGCTCTTCCTCTTCATAACATGTTATCTCTCAAAGTAAATCTCTTTTGTCCTGATAACGTGTTTTCCTTTTAAAATATTAGTGCTTTTCTTACTGCTCAATAACAAGATAGCTTGACTTCCAGAGTCCCAGGGACAGCTTTGAGCCGACTCACCTACCACCCTGGTGTTGTAGTAGTCAGGCAGCATCCGCTCACAGAGAGCCACCAGCAGCCAGAAAGCCTCTTCCTCATTGCCGTACAGAAGCAGCACCGACGTCACGATGTTCATGGCCTATGAACCATCCCGCCAGGACAGACACAAGGAGGCACAGAGAACAAACAGCATTGGAAACTGGGAGCTCCTATTTCAAGCCTTTGTATGTCTTAGTCCATCCTCAGCAGGGAAAGTAAGGCCACTCTGCCCCAAGACCTGGCTCAGGATGGAATACAATGGGGACTTCAAGTTTGTGGAAGTGAATGAGAAACCTCTACTCACTGTGACTAAAGATGATTTACTTTGAGAAGGAAGCCCTCATGCAGTCCAAACCAAAAAACGGTGAAAGACAATACTTTAATATGAGGGACAAGAGCAACCACTAGAATTTGTTTTTCTATTCCTTCTCTGTCCTGGGACACACCCAATCCCGTCTAAATCTTGTCAGGGGGCTGCCTGCTTTTAAGGGCTTTGGCACTAACTACAGAGATGCCTTGGAGTTTTAGAGGCCACAGGGGACTTTCGAGCTCTAGCCATCCCTGCAAAAGGGCTGTCAAACTGGTGTGTCTAACCTGGCAGTATCCAATCGTTGGGTTTCGAAAAGCATATGCAGTTAGCACTCGCCGAAGGGCAGCGATGCCCATTGCATTCTGGAAGGCTGGATGTTCAGGCATGGAACGGTGCAGATCTCTCTCAATTTCCTCAGCGGCAAGACTCTGCTTGCCCATGGATTTCTCCACCAGCTCAGCGTAGTATCCAGGGTGGGTCACCATCTCATTCCAGGCTCCTGCAGTGGGAATACATACAGCACTGTCTGACATTCTCAGAAGAGCTTTATGCCTAGGAGTTCAATAAAATTCCAGGCTGGAGAGCTTACAGAAAATAAGAGATTGGGGGATCAATTCCAAGCAAATACAAAGTTCCATTTCAGTCTGTAGCGTCTGCTTTATTAGGTTCCAGAATTCCAAGAGCTACTAAGACTCAAGCAATAAAGAGCAGTGGGGTATACAAGCCCGCTACATGAAACTGGTATATGAGGCTACCTTCTTTCCCCCACCCCAATGCATTCCCCACTCCAGTGGAATTCTTTGTAGCAGAAAGCAGATGTTCTGCCTTTAAGGACTCCCTGAGAAGAAGGGACCTCCAGTTGTGTGACACTGGTGAAATGGCAACTCACCTGAGAAGAGGAGCCAGAGTTCTCCACGGAGGCTCTCGGGAATACCCTTTAAAACTAGCTCCCGGGTCTTTGCTGTACGATACATGCACATGCCACGTCCATACTCAAAGAAGTGAATATTCCAAGATTCTTCTTTCATCTTCTCCTTTGCCTTAGAAGAAAGGGTGTTGGTTGTGGACTCCAGAGGCCTCGTGTAAACATGCCAAGCCAAATCAATATACACAGAAAACCTCTTTCATTGCTAAATAAATCACCCATGAGACACTGACCATCTCTCTCAAATTGCAAAATTCTTATAGTCAAAAAATACAAGCGCTTAGCAAGTTGAAAGGAGACATTGACTGCAACTCCTCATAACTTATGGTGAATTAATGAGAAGTATAACAGTCCTAAGGCTGTCTCTTTCTGAATTATTTAAGTCAAATGCTGTATTATGTCAACTGAAATAAGCTGGTTTCCATTTGTCTCCCACGGACTTTCTTCACATCTTCAACCAGAGGACATGCCAATTCTGCCTAATTTTCAGTCTTTGGTTTGGGGTAGGTCCATCAGGGCCCTGTAGGTTTTGGTAGAGAAATGCTAATGGCACAGGGGGGAAGGAGCCCATACATGTGCTGGTGCCCAGAGATACTATTAACTTTCCCCTTCCTGAGAACCCAACATTCATTCAAATTCTGGATCTCTTAATCACAATAGAAAAAGTCTTACCCCCTTGGGTCCAAGAAACTCTGTGGATGAGTTTTTTTGAAAAAGTTTGAGAAGTCCATGAGAAGCAGTTGGAGCCTCCTCTAAGAAGGAGGTCAGCTGACTGTTGAGGGTAGAGGATGGGCTGACAGGCAGATCACTGCCCTCCTGAGGAAAAGAAACAGCAGGTTAAAAAGGTTTTTCAATTTATTTGTTAGCCTAATTGTACTGGCTAGTCAAAGACTTCATTCTCCAAGGGCCAGACACTGACAGCGTACTCTTCACTTTTTAAATCTTATTTTTTATTCTGAAAGCAAACATTAAAAAAAGGGTATTTCTGTATACACAGAACCAAAAAAGAAGGTTCTCTATGCAACTACTAATCTACTTCATACTGTTTGTTTTTTAAAAAAAAATAATAAATTCTACATATTACTCTTATGAATGTCCTTTTCTTTGCACTTTAATATTTTTAAAAATGAAATTTTATTTTATTTTTAGATCCTCATTTTTCCTCTCCTTTCCCCCCCATTTGAGAAAGCAAGGAAAACAAAATCTCTTACAAAACGTATAGACAAGTAAAACAAATTCCTGCTTTGATCCTCCTCAAATCCTCAACCCTTACAAATTGTCTCAATTTGTAGCCTATCACTTCTCTATCAGAAGGTGAGTAGCCTGTTTCATCTTTCAGTCAGAGTTCTTAAATTTTCACGGGTTGTCTATCTCTACAACACTATTATTGCATAACTTGTTCTCCTGGTTCTTCTCACTTCACTCTGCATCAGTTCATACAAGTCTTCCCAGGTTTCTCTGAAACCAACTTTAATAATATTTTAATAGCCCTCTTCTTGGGGATATCACTATTGTTAACATTCTGTTCACCAACTCCACCCCACTCCAATTGGAAAATATAAAGGAAAAAAAAATCTTGTAATAAGTTAGGGTAGTCATGTTTATAGGGGCCATATTTCAAAACTATAAATCTCTTTCTGAGTCATCTCATGTGTCCATCACCTGTTAGGAGATGGATAACATTTCACCACGTCCTCTGAAGACATAGGTTGGTCACTGTTTTGGTCAGAGTTCTTAATTCTTTCAAAGTTGCTTTTCTTGACAATGTTATAATTTTTATATAAATCCTTCTATTTCTCTTCACTCTGCATCAATTCATAATAACCACGATATTCTCAAATTGTCTCTTTTATCATCTCGTATGGTGCAATAGTGTTCCATTCCATTCATATACTATCAATTTGTTCAGTCATTCTCCAAATGCCTATTGTTTAACAGGCAATCTAATATGCTCCCATAGATTCTAGTTTCTTTTCTCTTTTCCCCCTTTGTAATCTCCCTTTCAAGATCACAAAGTTTGTTTTGCTTTCAGCTATCTGCTTTTTGATATCATTCTACCTCTTAACACCTCCTTCTTGTCCCCTCGTTTCCCTTTTAGTTTGATGTGTTTCTACACCAAACTCTGTGTGTCTGTAATGTGTGTTCAATCCTCCTTTGCCTGTTTCAGATAAAAGTGAGAATTATGTGATGCCTACTCTCCTATTCCCTCCTCCATATCTGCATATTCTTCTTAAGCACCACAACTATAAAAAATAACAAGTTCCTTCTTTCTCCTTTCTACACTAGTGTATTCTTCCTTCTACCTTCCTTTCTCTTCCCCGTCTTCAAACCCTCAGAACAGGAACCTCCCCCCCACCCCCCCACCTTTTTTCTTATTTAACTCCCTAGTACCTTATGAAGACATCAAGGTTCTGAAAGGATCCTTGTTTCTGTTCCCTTTATTAGAATACTAGCATTACATTATCATACAACTCTGTCCAACTGCTCAAATACATTTACCTTTTTAGTTTTCTCTGGACTTGTGTTTGTATTTCAAAGTTCTGACTCAGCTCTGGTTTTTTCATCATAAATAAAGCCTTCTTATTCCATTAAAGATTCATTTCCCCCCCCTCCCCGATTATGTTTAGCTTTGCAGGGTATATTATTCTTGGTTGTAAACTGCCCTTTGTAATACTGTATTCCAAGTCTCCTCTTGTTTATTGTAGAAGCTTCCAGGTCTTGTGTGATCCAGATTGTGGTTCTTTGGTACCTTAACTGCTTATTTCTGGATGCTTGAAATATTTGATGTAGGAACCTGGGATTTTGGCTATGATATTAATGGGACTTTTCCTACTGGGGTTCCTTTTAGGAGGTGACTGATGGATTCTATCTTCATGTTGCCATCAGGGTTCTAATGTTTGAGTTTTCATTTATGATTTCTTGAAATATAGTGTCCAGGATTTTTTTATTTTGATCATGGCTTTCAGGAAGTCCAATGATTATTGAATATCTCTCCTTAACCTGTATACAGGTCTGTTGTTTTGGATATTAGCTATCTTACAGATTTTTTTTTATTATTTTGATTTTGTTCTAATATTTCTTGCTATTGCATGGAGTCATTGATTTGTTTAACCTTTTTTAGTTTTCAGGAATTTCATGATTTCTTGGGCAAGGTTTTCTACTTTCTCTTCTAAACTCCTTATTGTCCTTCCAAGTCTTTCTTCAGAGTTTTTAATGTCATTTTTAAAAATCTCTTGCTTCATTTCTTCTAGATCTTCATATAGTTCTCGTGGAAAATCCATTTTTTTCTTTGACTCAATACCTGCAGATGTTATATACAGATTGCAATAATTTTTATTGGATTTACTCATCTCTCCAGCTTTAAGTTCCTGAATTGGGGCTTTATTCTAGGACTAGGTTCTGCCCCTTTCTTGTACTTTTTGGTGGAGTGGTCAGCCCTGCTTAGTGTTGCCCTGAGTCCCCTGGGTCTTTCTGATGACCTTCACCACCTCTTTGAAGTTCAGAGTTTCACATTCAAGACCCTCTCTGACATCTCAGAGTAGTATTAAGGACTTCAGTGTCTCTGGGCCTATGCTGTCCAGCTGGTTTCTGCTCCTACTCCCCAGGGCTTCCGAAGTCCCCACCTTGGGGCATTCTCAGGGTTCTGTTCTTGCTGCCTCCTATCAGAGCCTTGTAGACTACATGCATGATTAGAGCTGAACAGAAGTAGAATGGGCTGCCTTGGAATGTGTGACTTCATCCCTAGATGAAGTTTTCAAGTAGAGGCTGAATGACTAATGTCAGAGATTTGATAGAGAAGATTTCTATTCAAGTACATGTTGAATAAGAGGATGATAAGCCTTCCAACTCTGAGATTCTATGATTCAACTCAACAGCTTACAAAGGCTTCCTGTTGGATCAAGTCTAAAAAAACTTCTGTTAGCCCTTAAAAGAATCTCCTACTAGGTTTAGGCTGGTCCCCTCACTCTTCCCTGAACACACCAAGCAGGCTGACTCCTGCCTTCTTCCCTTTGCTCAGGCTACTTCTACTCCCTGGGATGGCCTTTTTAAATAAATATTTAGGTAAAGGTACTTTAAATCTTTGTTTAAAATGACTTGTCATGTTTTCTGTTTAGATAATGTTTCAAAAATGTAATGTTATGAGGTAAGAGACAAAACCTCATAAAGCAGTCATAACAGGTTGATACCTGGTCTTGCATTAGAGCCACAGTTGAGGGATCTGACCAAGAAGTACTTAACATGGAAATCTTGTCACTATGCATATATCAACACATACAACAGCTGGTTATCCCTATCAGGAGGAGGAGACTGAAAATTCCTAGTTACATCACCGCAATTCAACTGATTAGCAGAAAGGAAAAGAATTTTGTGTGTAGAAAATATCTCGAACAAAAGAGAAATAGTAGAGTCAGGAGAGTATCCTGGACTGAGAGCAGAAAGTATATGATGAAGATTATGGAAGATAAAGTTGGAATGAGGCCTCTTGACGGAGGGCCTTCAGATGACTTTGAATGTGACCAACAGGTGAGGAGTGGAGAACTCTCTTTTTACTAAGGGCCAGCAATCTTCAGGGAAAAAAATGAGGGCCACATACAGTTTAAAAAGCAACTTAATTAAGGTATGATTTTTAAGGACAGAAAAAAGTGAAAAGTTCAACTTACCTGCTTCTTAAATTAAGAACAGTGAAAATAAGAACTTTATTCAGTAACTATGAAAAATGTCTTTTGATACATATCAAGTTTTCCTTCCATCTCACCTCCCCTTGTACTGGGTCTGTGACTCCAGACTTCTCTCCGCTGCCAGCATGTGGCTTCTTAGCTGATGTTTTCTGAAGGAAATCTGAGATTCTCTGGACCAAAAAATCTCGGTCCTTTAGATTGGCAAACAAGAAGGTCATTTTACTTTTGGTGCTAATAGACAATGGGCTCGGTAACACGCTGGAGCTGTCAGCTTTTTCAACCACTGTCACCTGTGAAAGAAGAGGCATTTGTTCTATGAGTCTCCCTTGAACTACAATAGAAACCAAACACACTCAAGAACTGACTATTAAAGACATATGTACATGATGAGGAGTTCCAGAGTCTCTCCTCTTCTCAAAACGAATTGAATTTGGAAGCTATCTGCTTGCATGGAATTTCCCCTGAGGCATCTATGTTGAAGACTATGCCTCAGAGACCACCAATGTGTGGCCACGGCAATGTTTCCACACCCTAAAACAGTAAACTAGATGGGTCCTCATGCCATGTGGCGGTTCCCCATGCCTGGAATGATCTTCATCCTTATTTCTGTCTCTTAGAACCCCTGGCTTCCTTTAAGACTGAGCTTAAGTGCTACCTTCTACAGGAGGGCTTGCTCTATTCCCTCAGCTGCTAATTCCTTTCCCTTTAAGCTAATCTTCTATATATTCAGCATTTATTTTGGATATCTCTATGCACATGTTGTCTCCCTTGAGGGTAGGAACTTTTTTTCTCTTTTCTTTTGTATTTCTAGCACTTAGCATATTGCCTGGCACATAGAGAGTGCTTAATCAAGCACTTTTATTCTTCCACTGCCTTACATGAGCCTCCAAATGCCATCTAGAAGTATAAAGGGGGGCAGCTAGGTGGCGCAGTGGATAGAGCACAGGCCCTGGATTCAGGAGGACCCGAGTTCAAATCTGGCCTCAGACACATAACACTTACTACTAGCTGTGTGACCCTGGGCAAGTCACTTAACCCCATTGCCTAGCCAAAAAAAAAAGAAAGAAAGAAAGAAAGAAAGAAGCATAAAGAGAAGTTAAGTAATGGCCAAAGTGGTTAGTCAGAAAGAGAACTCAAGTCTCCCAATTCCTAAACAGATGCTGACCATCTTGGCTGCCACCATAATAATGTGACTGTTGACCTTCAATACTAATACTCAGACGCTGAAACAATTCTTCACCTCTCTCAGTGGTATTATGAGATAACAAGCCTCTTCTTCTTTACTGGCAAAGCAAATATAATTGTTGGAGATGAACATCTGGCCAGGGATATGCATCTTATTGAATGGGGTCCATAAGGTACAGTCAGTGTGTCCATCTAGCCGTTCATCCTTTGGCAACCGGAAAGTTGCCCGGTAGCATTCATTTTTGGCTCTGGCATCCAGATCTCTGAATGCAGAAGAGAGAAACCAAAGTACATAGGCCAAGTGTTAGCAACGATGTTAGAATGTAAGAGCTACACTGTATCAATCTGCAGCTGGGGGCAAGATGAATTGCCATCTGCCTGATCAGGACAAACACAATTCATATATATAAGTGAGAAGACTGGAGCTTTAATCTCTTATTTGAGGTTAAAAAGTAACTTCAAAAAATTATTTTTTTAGGTGACCCATTTTTCTTGGGAGTGAAGGATAAAAGGAAGGGGAACCCCTAGATCTAATTAAGATAATTAGTACGTGTCTCTTGCCTTCTTTACAGTGTTTGAATTTTAGACATTTATCCTGGCAGATCAATATGGATGGATAGTCCTGCATCCCAAAGGTTAGTTCTTTCTGGGAATTTGGAAGGCTCAAACTTTGACAAGCCCTATTATAGTCATGGAGTCTAAAACCAGAGATCTTCAATGAGTTGTGACCCACAGGTCCATGGTTTATATCTATATACATCATCACATTCCAAACTGCAACAGAAGCCCCTGTTCCCTCAGATTTGTAGCTCAGCGTGGGAAGAGGACTAGAGAGCGTGGCAATATCTGAGCTTCTGTAGAGCTCTGCTCCAGGGATGAGTGGTCCTGACTGGTTAATTAGTAAATGCAAACTCACCTAACCCACTATAGCTTGCTGGCCTCAAATCATGCCTTACATTCCATCCAGTCAACCCCTGTAGATCTTGTCTCATTTTGCCTGACACCCACACCTTTCCACTTCTTGCTCTGGAATGGTAATTAAATCAATTCTACTACTGCTTCTAGAAAGAACATGACAACAGACTGCTTTATGGCTCTGTAGTTATCCCTGTAATTCCCCAGACCAAAGTTCCCTTCCCTGACCACCATTCCCTAATACGTGTAGTATTCCTCATTACAATATAAGGTCCCTGAAGGCAGAGACCGTCTCACTTTTGTATTTGTATCCCTAGTGCCTAGCAAAATACATGGCACATAGCAGGTAATCAATACATGTTTTTTCATTCATTCATCTAGACCTATATAGGAAGAGTCTCACGCACAACTATAAACCGGGTTAGGACAATGATCACGTTGGACCTCCGACTCAAGTTGCCTTGCATTATTTCTCTGTTTCTATAAAGTGAAAAGAGACATACCTTTTTAAGGCTGAGATGTTTTTGAGAGGCCTAACAGGCTTGGGGAGGGACTTGTCCTCCAGGAAGCCTTCATTGTCCAGCAGTTGCCGCATGGCAATATTGGCCAATTGCTCCATAAGCTTGAAGGTCTCATTGATGTTGAGGAACATGGAGAAGTACAGCTCCTTGTCCCTGGTGTTAACTTTGATGCACTCAGGGAATAGCAGGGTGGCATTCTTCTCCAACTCAGTTACATCCACCCACTGGACCACCAAGGTTACTGAGAACCACCAAACAAAGAAACACCAATTCAAATAGCTTTGAGAGACAAAGTCAAAAAATCAACAGAAGGAATAAGTGACAGTGTGATTTAAGAATGGCTCACAATATGGAGTCACTGAATGTGAACTGAAGCCCTGGGAGGGGAAGAACTCAAAATCCCTACTTTCTGGTGCATGGCTTCTTTGGGCTAGATCACAACAGCTTACCTTCTTTGCCCAAAAGGAAGGAGTAGAAACAAAGGTGGTTGACAGTCAGGTACAACCATCCCTGCCTGGGTACTCGTCCTTTCCAGTAGCTGCAGGAATAGTAATTGACCAGCTTCTCCACTTCGGGCATTCCAAATTGTTTTCGCATCTTCAGTTCTGCCTCTTTGAATTTTCCTGGATCTTCATCTCCCTGAGGTTGCAGGTTCTTGTTTTCTTCAGCAATGATGCCCTGGAGTGGAGAACAGAGAATGGAGATGGGGACTCCTATGTAAAATGAATAAGGAAAAGGGCAAAAGGAACCATTTAGGTTCCTAAAACAATAATGGCATTAAAAAAGGAAATTTAATTTAGAATTTATGATTAAGAAAGGTTAAGTGCAATGATCTGCCTGCAGGAAGGATGCTTATTGACCAAATGAAAGAATTAGATAGAGGATGTTAGCAAAAGCAAAATAACACTAATAATTCAAGCTAAAGTCAATCAAGAGCTAATCGCCTCCCAGGTTGCTTGGAAGCTCAGAACACACATCCTTTTTATTGCTACTAATGATACTAGGATCACCCTGCTGTCTCCTCCACTGTTCCCTAGCTTCCATTTTTAAGAAGGAAGGGCAGAACAGATAACCTATTAGAAAGATCTTCTCCATCTCCTGATCTTCCATCCCTTAAGGTGAGTTCCACAAAGCACTGTCTTCGACCCTCTTTTCTTTCTACAGTCCCTCCCTTAGCGATCTTATCAATTTCCATGGCTATTAATTATGTAGATGATTCCAAAATCTTTATCACCAGCCCTGACCTCCATTCTGAGCGCCAGACCCACACGTAGGCTGTCTATAGGGCCTGTCCATCCAGATGTCCCACTAGCAGCTCAAAACTGACATGTTTAAAAACAAGCTGGCAATCTTTTCTTCTGAGTTGGCTTTCCCTCGTGACTTCACTATTTCTGACTATAGCAACGCTGCTCACCCTAGCTATCATGTTTTCAAAACTTTGCAGTGTTATCTTGGACTCTTCCCTCTAGTCGTGATCCACTTAGTTAACAAATTCTATTGATTTCATCTCTAGTCAGTTTCTCTCTTTTCTTCTCTGCTCCCACTGTCACTGATCTGGTGCTGAGCTCCATGAGGACTTCCCTAGATTATCACAATATTCTCCAAGTTGGTCTTCTTGCCTCCACTCACTCTTCTACATTCTACCCTTCCTCACACACAGTCTGGCCGTGTCACTGCTCAAAAATTTTCTGTGTCTCTAGCATTTCCCACATAAAGCTCAAATTCCTCTGCATTAAATTCAAGGCCCTCTACAGTGTGGCAATTCCTAATCTCTTCTATTCCCCGCTGTGTACTCCATTTTCTAGCCAAATTAAACTATTCTACAACCCTTCAACAAGCTCTGTATTTACCCACCTTAGAGCCTTTGCTCATGCTATTTCCTATGCCTGAAATGTCCTTCTCTTCTTTTTGTCACCTATTGAATTCCTGGCTGTTCTCTTTTTTTTTTTCCTCTAGGCAATGGGGTTAAGTGATTTGCCCAGGGTCATATAGCTAGTAAGTGTCAAGTGTTTGAGGCTGGATTTGAACTCAGGTCCTCCTGACTCCAGGGTCAGTGCTCTACCCACTGTGCCACCCAGCTGCCCCACCTTGGCTATTCATTAAAGCCTAAATCAAATGCCACATTCTACCAGGAAACCTTCTCTGAGTGGTCAGCAATGAAAATTTCCCCTTGGCTGTCACAAAGCATTTTGGTACCTCTCTAATATGCTAATGCTCTATTATGTATTATAATTATCTACATATGTCATATCTTCCACCAAGCTTAAGTTCCATGACAACAGGAGCTATCTTATATTTAAACTCTGAATCTCCCTGTAGTACCCTGTAGAGTTTTCTGTAGACAGGAAGAGCTTATGTTTACTGATTATGTGGGTGAACTGATCAAGGAATGCACTGCTGCCTTGGGGGCTTCTCCAGGCAATCAGTCACAAGGAAGATAGTTGGATGTAACCTGACTTCTCTAAGAGAAAGAAGCTAAGAAAAATACTGTGCCTCATTAAGAATTATGGGCTAGTGGTTTCATTTTACATTGATCCAACAAAGTTGGACCATCAAAAATAAAAATCCTGTCAAGCAAAAGTGCTACCTGTTACTTTCAGAAGTTGGTTCTAAAATATGAAAACCGGGAGCCTGCTACCATACCAGGGGAGGTGATGAAGAAACTTGAGCAACTTGATAGAGAACACTTTTACACACCATAAGCTTCAAAGGTTGGGGAACAGAGGAAGAAGAGTCTGGATGAATAGACATCTGAGGGCTCTCTCCCAGCCCTGAGTTACAAGTGCTACCCTGTTCCATCTACATCGTACAGCTGCTGCACTGAGCCTCTTCGGTTCCAGAGCTTCCCCATCTATCTGTCCCTGATGCACCTGTTGTTTGAACTTACTCAATGTATAATAGTTTAAAAAAATATTGTGTTTAGAGGCAGCTAGGTGGCACAGTGGATACAGCACCGGCCCTGAAGTCAGGAGGACCTGACTTCAAATCCGGCCTCAGACCAAACACTTGACATGTACTAGCTGTGTGACCTTGGGCAAGTCACTTAACCCCAGTTGCCTCCAAAAAAAAAATTGTGTTTAAATGAATACTCATTTGTTATAATTAGGTAGACTATGCAGATTTCAGTCATTTTTTTCTACCTAAATATTGGCTGAAATGAATAAAACATGCGATAATTCAATGGGAAACTGGAAATGAGAGGGATGGTAAAATTTTACTAGGTTTCCCTAATAACCAAAAGTTCATCCTTTGCTCAGGAAAAGCAGTCAAAGGTACCCACATTCCACAACCAGTATCCTGAGAGGTTGAAAATAAAGGGAGATCAGAAAGTTCAGCAAAGAAACACAGTAGAACTAAAAAGGAAGTCACACAAAGGCAGAATTCAACTGACTAAAAGGAAGAACTTTCTAACAACCGAGCTGTCCAACAATTAAATGGCTATCTTGAGAGAGAGAGAGTAAGCTCCCCAGGACTGGGGTTAAGTTATATGAACTGCTGTCACAGATGTGGCAGAGTAGGTAAGAGGTGAGACCAGATAAGGTCCCCAAGCACATGATGATGCTAAGCAAGTGCTCCTTACGTGTATCTTGCCCTTGACAAAGGTAGTGATGTCTTCTTCATTCTCAAAGATGGACAATGTCTGTAGCAAGTTATTTTCCAGCCACTCCCAATGTTTTGTGATCTCCTTACGGGAAGAACCTAGGTGGTTGGGGAAGGTAGAAAAAAAAAAAAACCACATCAACACACCAATCTCTCCAGCTCATTTAAGGAAGAAAATTAGGAACCATTTCCCATCGTAAAGGTTAAGGCAGAAATCTCTGTACATACAAGTGATAAGAAGCCTTAGGAAATATCCATTAAACTAAGGACAGATAAAAGATAAAATGTAATGCTTACAGGGCTGTGGAAAAATAAGAACAGTCTTACTCTGCTAGTGGAGCTGTGAAATGATATAATCTTTTTGGAAAACAAAATAGCATTATACAATAAGAGCTACCACGTTCTCTAATCTAGTGATTCCACTATGGAGGCTATATCCTAAAGATGCCATTGACAAGGGAAAAAAAGGCTTCTGTACAAAAATATCCATAGTATTAATCATAATAGCAAAAACAAAAACAAAAATTCATATGTCTAATGATTGGGAAATGGCTGGACTATAGTATGTATTAAATTCTATTCAAATAGAAGAACACTTATTAAGCACCCACCGTGTACAAGATACCATGCTAGACCCTGGGGACAAAAACAAAATTGTTCCCGTCATTGAGGATTTTGTGTTCTGCTGGAAGATACAATATGACCAAAATAACAGTTGATGTTTTAATATACAAAATTGAGAAGGTGGACTGGAGCCAGTTTGTGAAGGGCCTTCAATGTCAGGCTAGAGTTTTTATTTTAACTGGACTCAGCAGGGAGCCACTAAGGGTTTTTGAGCAGGGGAACGACAGAGTCAGACTTGAGCATCAAGAAAATTATTTTGGCAGCTATATGTAGGATGGATTGGAGAAGGGAGAAAATGGAAAAGGGGAGACCAATGAGGAGATTACTGAAATAGACTAGAGGTGATGACAGCTTGAACCAAGGGTATGGCCATGTGTGTAGAGAGAAGGGGATGAATTTGAGAGATACTGTGAAAGATAAAATGCAAATTTAGAGTCTTCTGAATAGAGATGATAATTGAGCCTAGAGGAATCACCAAGAAAGATAAGAAGGTGGTCCAGGACACAGCCCTGGGAAGCACACATTTAGGGGATGGCTGCTGAACAATGAATTGCTAAAGATAACTGAAAAAGGAGGTCAGATAGGTAGGAGGGGAATAAGGAGAGAGTAGACTCATAGAAGTCAAGGAGGAAAGTATTTAGAAGGAAAGGATGGTCAACAGTGTCAAAAGTTATGGACACTGAGGACTGTGAGAATTCAGAAAAAGTGTAAAAAGTTAGGTAAACCTTGGAAAGAACAATGTCAGTCAAGTGGTAGGCTTTAAAACCTGATTATGGGGTGAAGGTTAGTGGGTGGTGAAGAAACAGAGGCAGGGAGAGAAGATAACTCTTTCTAATAGCTTGGCAGTGAAAAGGAAGAAAGAGAAGACGATCTGAGGGGACAGCAGGATCAAATGAAAGCTCCCCCCAACCTTTTGAAACAATGTAGGACACCTTAGGACAGGGGTGGGGAACCTGCGGCCTCCAGCCACATGTGACCTTCTAGGTCCTCAGGTGCAGCCTTTTGACTGAGTCCAAGTTTTACAGAACAAATCCTTTTATTTTATTTATGAAGTTCGGATTCAGTCAAAGGGTTTCACTTGAGGACTTAAGAGGGCCAGGGGTGGCCTTGAGGCACCATGTTTCCCATTCTTGCCTTAGAATATCTGCAGACAACAGGGAAGGATCCAGGGAGAGACTGAAGAAGAGAGAAGGAGAACAATTAATGAGGGGAGCTCCCAAAAGAGATGGAAGGTGATGAGATCAAGGGCACAAGTAGAACGGTTAACCTGGAAAATTGAGAATGGGAGAAAAGGAGGAGAGGATAAAGATGTAGAGGGCTTTTGATGTATAGGGTAATGGAGATGAGGGAGGTTATGAAGGAATGGCCTAAATTTTCTCCATAAAGTGAAGTCATCTATAGAAGGCGGGGAAAGGAAATATCATGGGGGACTTGAAAAGAGAGGAAAAAATTTGGAGCAAGTGCCACAAGGACAATAAAAGTCAATCAGGGAAGAATAGAAGGTTTGCCTTGTAGCTGTGAGAGCTCAGTTGAGACTGGATAACATGAATCTATAGTGGATATCATGAATTTATAAGGTGCTGTTTTCCAGCAGCCTTTAGCAGCAGGGAAGTTGGTTGACAACTAGTTGGTATGAATGAGAGTGATAAAAGTGTACAAGAGATTCAAGGACAGTGGATGGTTCATGGTTTAAGTGGTCAACTTTAAGATCAAGATTTTGAAGAGAAGAAAGTGAGATCAAAGTAGCAGCGACAACTTAGGACAATAGAGGATGAAATGACTAGAAATCACATTGGAACTGGTTAGAATAGAGTAAAAGATGTCAACAGATATATGTATGATAGGAAGAGGAGATGGGCTAGCACAAGGAATGACAGGTAGATGATGTCCTGAGATCATTCAGGAGACAATATGCAAGGCCTCCAGAACACTGGGTGGAGAACATACGGTAGAACAGGAACAAGAGTTGAACAGGATGGGCAGGCATATATAGATTGTGATCTGCATAGTTGAGGGAGCATCCAAATTGAGGAGGACACATATCTATTTTGAGTGTAAGAAAAACCATTAACGATTAAGTGGTCTTCAGCAGAAAGAGGATCTAGATCATATCTGAGTCACACTCTCCTAGAATTGCTACCTGAATTTTTGATTTCTAGATATTTCACCTGGAATTGCCAGCTCAATACCAGGTCGGGCCTGGTTGGGCCCAGCCCCTACCATCTGACCTCTCCTTTGGATCAGAGGGTTTTGATCCAACTTTGATCTGCCTTAATGTAGATGAGTTTGGCTGACACTACTTCCAGAATACTTAGTTTCTATTTCCACTTCCCAGTTTTCACCTCCGTTCTAAAGAACATTTTAAGTGCTAACAGATCAAGTCTTATTTTAACACCTCCCCTCTTGCCTTGCCTCAGGAATTCTGCCCTATCCCTGATCCTCTGCCAGACCAAGCAAGTACCAGAGAGACCTGGGCCAGTGTGGGAGGTGAGTGAGAGAGTGAGAGTGAGAGAGAGAGAAAGAGAGAGAGAGAAAGTGTGAGTGTGTGTGTGTGTGTGTGTGTGTGTGTGTGTGTTTGTTGGGAGGTTGGTTCTTTCACCGTGATTGGCAAAGATTGGCAAGTCAGAACTGAGTCTTTTCCCAAAGGAACTCCTACACATTGTGGGTTCCAGAGGACAATTAACACAGTGGACACTCTGGGTAAAGAGGCTTTTGTGGACTGAATTGGAAACCATACCACCACATTACATCTGTTTCTACAGGTAAAAAAAAAACTTCTTGAGTTACAAACACCCAACTGATAGACAGACTTCTTGGATATTGTGGAGGTTTCTGATCCAAATGCCTGACTGTAGATGAGCTTGGTTGGCCCTGCTTCTAGGATGCTTAGTTCCTATGGCCACTCTTCAGTTTTCACCTAAGCTCTAAGGAACACTGTCCCAAGACCCCCTTTCTGGACCTTGGGGGAGGTCCTGCCCTAGTCTCTTTTTTGGACCTTTCCCGGAAAAAGGGCCAGAGCCCTGATTTCATACCTTGGTTAACCCAGCCTTGAGCTTTGAAGCTTATTAGGCTGTTACTCAGCTAATATATTAGTCCCTTTGGAGAAACAAACCATGATACTTCACAGTTATACATGACTCTATTAGAGGTAAGCCCAGACATGCTACACCTAAATCATAGTTTCTCTACTTCATTTCCCATGAAAGGCTTGGGGTTACTCCCTATGGGAGGGTAAAAGTTAAATGTAAGGAACAGCAGTGAAGAAAGGAAGTGGTTAGAAGAGAACTCTAACCAAAGCCCACTTCTTCATCACAGACTCAAGGGCGTTATTGAACCTCATGGCTCTTGGTGCCTACATTTGCTGAGATAGGAAGACAGTCACATGTTCTAGGATACATTTTTGCTAGGAGAAGCTCAGAATGTCTGAAATTCTTGTTGAGAGTAGCCCCGGGTTCACTTTCCCTGATAAAGCATGTCACTCTCCCTCCATTTTTTGGGCCCTTGGACTCGAGAGATCTGGCATGTAAACATTCAGGTCCCTCTCTGAGCTATGCCTGATGCAAGTTTTGACGGCAGGAAGTGAAGTACAAGAACCTACCACAGGCAACGGCCCAATAGATCTGAGAGTCCTGAGTCTGGTGAAGGATTCGATAAGGGGCGACTCTGGCACTGGAATCCAAGACAACATCCAGTGTTCCCACGAGAAGACCTGGGAAATAAGGTGGAGAGAAATGTGACTGGGACTCAATTGGTCTATGTCCCTGCTCCAGCCACATCCAATGTGGCTACAGATGGCTTGATTTCATGGGCTGAAAGAACAGGAAGGATCAAATGAGATAATGTGTTACTAAAGCACTCTGTGAACTATAAATTGCTGTACAAATATACATTAATTACTACCTGTCCTTGGCCCAAGTAACCAGGACAAATGGCTGTCATTTTCTTTTTAAAAGTCTCAAAGGAGGGCCATTCTTTAGCTTCTTTCAGGATTCATTTCAGTGTAACTGAGCCCCTGGAGCCAGGAAAATCTTCCTTTTGTAGAAAATGATAAGGTGCTCCTGGACCCTTCCAACCTTTTCAGTCTTTTTACCTTTTACTCTCCTTCACACCCTCTATGATGCTGCTACACTGGCCTCCTTGCTCTTCCACCCCTACAACACCCCATCTCCCAACTCAACCTCTTCTCCAGCTGTCTTCCAGGCTTTCGATGCCCTTGCTCCTCACCTCTGTCTCCTGACTTCCCTCAATGCTCAGCTCAAATCCCACTCTCTGCAGGAGGCCATTTCTGCTTACTTCTGCTACTAGTTCCTTCCCTCTGAGATTCCCTTCCATTTATACTATTAATATCTGGTATGCATGTAGTTACTTGCATGTTGTCTCTCTCCCTAAACAGAATATGAAGTACCTGAGGGCAGGAACTGTGTTTTTGCTCTTTCTTTATATGTTCATTGTTTAGCACCGTGCCTAGCACACTGTAAATGCTTAATAAATGCTTGACTTGAGGACAGCTCAAATGTCTGATACCCACTGTCTCTCATTCTGCACAACTCTCATTTATTTAGAGACACAAGGCACCTTCTAGACCTTTCTAAATGACTTCTGTTCCTTAAAACTTTTACGAGAACTTATATCTTTCTTAAAAATAAAAAAAAGGGGGCAGCGAGGTGGCGCAGTGAATAGAGCACTGGCTCTGAAGTCAGGAGGACCTGAGTTCAAATCCAGCCTCAGACCAAATACTTGACACTTACTAGCTGTGTGACCCTGGGCAAGCCACTTAACCCCAACTGCCTAATTAAAAAAAAAATGCCCAAACCAACCAAATATTTCTATTGATGCTTTTTCTCCCTTTCTGACATCAAAATCACTTCCCAATTATTCTGTGTTCTCTACACCCTCTTTACTCCTCCCATCACTATAGACCTTTCCCTTGTAACGAAGAAGTATAGGTCAAACAAAACAAGCCAACATATTGGTGATATCTGATAATAAACGCCCCATTTCCCAGTTATAGTCTATTTCTCTGCTGAGAAAAAGGAAGCATGGTTTCCTGTCAAAAAGCCAATTTCCTTTTTGTTATGTATTTCTTTACTTATCTATTTAAAATTTGGTGACTTTATCATGGTAGAAGTAGCCAGTTTTTCCCTGACCATGCTTCTAATACAAGTTAATGTAGTGACAATTTATTATTCTACCACCTACCTATGACCTAAGGAAACCTAAGATTTCTACATAAATTCATTTTCTAAATTACCAAATCTTATCCCTTTAATTGTCCAAACTTGCTTTATTTCAAGCATTATGGATAGAAATGTTCTGAAACACAGTAAATATATCCTTGCTTTCTTAAACAGAGCATATTGAGCACAATCTTTAAAAGTACATGATAATTTTATGCTTTATGTATAATTTTGCATAAAAATTAGCCTCTTTTCAATGACTAAGGGTTATCATTATGAATGACAATGACTATGCCCTAACTGTAATGAAATCATTTCCCCAAGGACTACTGAAGTGTATGGAGCTCTTTCCTATGCCAAATGGTTTTGGACTGTGTTGAGCTGTTTTTTTCTGTCTCTTCCTGGCTATCAGCTATCTGTTCTCACTGTTCCATTTCACCATAGTCTTTGTGCTCCCACTAGCTAATATTCCCCCACCAAATAATCATTTTAAAGAGCCTATTGCATTGACAGCACTTTGCTGGATATGGGATAAAACATGACCACTGCCTTCATGGAGCTCACAATCTATTATAGGGGAAAAAGGCACAGATAACTGTAATATGTAATGTGATCTAAAGTCATTAAAGAGTTGGAAAACAAAATGCCATGAGGTGTTAAAAGGTCATTATGACCAAAGAAGGAAGACTTCTGGGAGGAGGTACCATTTGGATTGGGCTTTCAATAAAGGTCATGCAAGAATACGACAATGACAGATGGCATGGAGTGTATCCAGGATAGAGATATTGGAGGAGGGAGGCCCAGATGGTTCATCTGAGGCACAAAATACATGAAGCTGATCTGAAGGTCTTCGCTTATTTCTTTTGGGGTTATATTCCCTATGTTTGAGAATTCTAGATGTCTGACCTCTGGAAAAGTAGGAGTGTTAAATGTACTGTGTTTCTCACTATATAACTACTTTATAGTCATAATTTCTTCTCTCTAGTTTTCATTTCTTATATCTATAATTGACTAGTCTTCCCTTTTCCTGTAATACTGGCATGGAAGTATGTACTACTTATACTGCCAGGTTGAATAATGAATCCTGTGAAGTCGTCGTATCACTGGAATTTGAATGTTCAAAGTTATAATTATATGTAAAATATGGTCCCTGGTTGCAGCCCAGTGGAAATATACAATGAAAATTTGAATGTGACCATTTCATGGGATTTATTATTCGTAGAAACTGGGACCTAGCTGTATATTACCTTAATTTCTAAAGGATACCAAAGCACTTTTGAAATACCTATCAGCATTCACTTCATTATTTAATTCTTTAACAAATCATTTCTTAGGCACTTGTGTATAAGGAAAATTTAGATAACACATAGTTGTATGAGAAGGACAAATAACTAATAAAAACTGTATAAGAGAGATATAAGCAAAGACCTTTGTGAGGTCCAAGGCCATTACCTTGGATGAGGATGAATACAGAAGAGTGGGGTACTCTCCCACTCTCCCTCCACCTCCAATATACCCCAAAGCACAGGAAATCGGTTTAACAAAACTCAATTCCCTTAGCCTGGAGCTGGAAATTCAAGGTCTAACATCTCAACCAAATGATTCTGTACCAAAAGTTCAGCACGAGCTAAAGTCAATCAAATCGGCAGAGAGAATTTCAGGGAGTAGAAGGTAATCAGCTGGTTTGAAATTTGCCCAGATTTTGGAGTTAACACTTCAATATTTCCAGGGATTAGCACCGAATTTTCACAAAGAAAGTTCAAGTTCCTCCCCCGATTTTCATTACCAGGCTCAGATGTTCACAAGGGGGCAGACGTTACTGGAGTATACCCTTGACATCTGAGAGAAGCCACAGCTGACTGAGAGGAAGAGACAGAAAACTACAAAAAAATTTCCACTGGGAATGTACGTGGGGCAATCACACAGCCCAGTAACCTCCACTCCTCTGTAAGCCCAGGGGGCACCCAGCCTCTTCTTTTGGGGTTATAGGCACAAAACTGGAAACAAAATGGGCCTGCTGACTGGGGGGGCTCTAGCTGTATCATAATGGTCCAGGACCAGGAGGGGAGAGGAAATCCTGGGCCTTACTACAGACTCGATGCTATCAAAGACAGAGCTCGGGTGGGGAGTCTGGAGGCCTGGGATCGGGGCTGTCTGCTGCCACGACCCGCTTGCGATCGGGGACAAGTGCCGTCCCCTCTCTGGAGCTCAGTTTCCCCATCAGTATAACCAGCAAGGTGCACGGCACGCTCTCCATGCAGTCTCGCAGCTCTCGATCCCGCTGGGCCGGGGGGACCGAGGCTCCGGCGGGGGCAGCCCCCTTTCCCGAAGGGTCCGGGGACCCGGCACCAGCCTCTGCCCCTCCAGCTGCCCCGCCGGCTGGCCAGCTGTTCGGGCCCCGCCCCCTCCCGGAGCCCCTTTAGGCCGCGGGTGCTCGCCGCTCCCCCTCCCCGGCGGCCCCGGCGGCGCCTCTGACCCCTCCTCGGCCGGGCGTCCCGGGCCCGGGGCTTCCCCTTCCGCTGCCCAGCTGCCTCGGCCCTCACCCGTGAGGCCGCCGCCCTTGCCGTGGCCGCGGCGCCGCTGCAGCAGGAAGAAGGGGTTGGCGCGCTCTGTCACCCACAGCGCATTCGCCACCAGCACCTCCTCTGGGCTCAGCCACATCCTGCCAGCGCGGAGCCTCCCAGGCTCCCCGAAGCAGCAAGAGCGCTCGGGCTCGGGCTCGGGCCGGGCCCAGCTCCCCGAGAAAGCGGAAGCGAGGCGGGCGGGAGCACAGGAAAGAGCGCGGGAGCGAGCGCGGAGGAGAGCGAGCGAGACGGGGAGCCAGCGCCGCAGAGCGCAGCCAGGCGGGGAGGGCCTCGGAGCCCGGCGCAGCGCCCACACAGCGCCCTCTGGCGGCCGCCCGAGACGTCCCAGCCCGATGGGCTGGGCTTCCCCGGGCTCTGCCCCGCCGCCTCTGCCTTGCCCCTTTCCCCAGCTCTTCCCTCCCGCCTGCCCCTTGGCTCTCTTTCCTCCTCTTTATCTCTCCTTCTCTTCCCCCTCTCTTCCCTGTCCCCCTCTTTCTTCTTTCCCCTCCTTCCCTTCTCTTTTTCCTTCTCTCCTTCCCCTCCCTCCTTTTCCCTCTCCCCTTTAATCCCTCTCTCCGCTTCCCCTCTCCCTCCCTTCTCTCCCCTTGACCCCCTCTTCCCTCTTCTCCTTTCTCCTTCCTTTTCTCTCTCCTTTCCACATTCTACCTTTCCCCAGCATCTCCCCTTTCCCCCGTCTCTGTCTCCTATTCTCCCCCTCCCCGTCCTCCCTCTTCCCTCACCTTTCTCCACCAGGTCAGGGAACAGTGCATTGACAGCTCTCGTTCTCAGACGGATGTCTCTGAGGGCGGTGAGATATTGGGGCCATTATCTGGGCCCTGAACTTTGCCTTCTTCAATGAAATTCCGTTGGATTCAGCAAACATTTATTAAGTACCTACAGTGTGCAGGGTGTCATGCTTTATCTAGGAATACAGGGATGAAAAATAGCACTTCCCAAGAAATTAACAGCCTATTAGGGGCCATTGTGTTGTATAGACAAATGTGTATGATAGCGGAAAAGAGAGCTCAGACAACATACTCTAAGACAGCTAAAATGGGAGGAGATCACTTTTAGCTGGAAAGAGATTAGAGAAGATTTCTTTGAAGAAATTGATCTGACCGGGCCTTGAAGGAAGAGGATTTCAACTACACCTTGCATATAGTAGATGGTTAATGGTTTGTTGAATTAAAGAGCTTATAAGGAGAGGACAGCATGTTCTAGGAATGCATAAAAGTAGCTTTCCTTTCCAGGGTTACTATGTATCATTCCACTCCTTCCACTTGAGGCCTTCTTATTGTTCCTTATTTACAATATTTCATCTCCTGTCTCCACAAATTTGCATAAACTGGCTCCCAGGCTTGGAATATGGGCCCTCCTCACCTCTCAGAATCCTCAGCTCCCTTCAGTGCTCTCAGCTTAAGTACTGTCAGCCCCTGGGAATCCATAGGCCTCTACTCAGTTCTGACCAGCATTTTCTAACTGCCCCCAAAAAGAGTGTAGGGGCCCTTGGAAAACTCAGACCAACTAGGTGATCATTAAAGAAAGTGAGGCATTTACTCAGGGTTGAGGAATTGCAATTCAGGACAATGCCCTGCCATTTTCAGACAGGAATGCCCCTGGGGAGGAAGGAGAAAAAAGGGATTCTTTTTTTTCCCTTCATTTAAAAAAAAATTATTTATTTTTATATTAATTAATTTATTTAGTTTTCAACATTCACTTCCATAAGCTTTTGAATTCCAAATTTTCTCCCCATATCTCCACTCCCCCCACCCTAAGATGGTGTGCAATTTGATATAGGCTCTACATATACATTCATGTTGAACATATTTTCACATTAGTCATGTTGTAAAGAAGATTTAGAACCAATGGGAGTGATGGGGATGGGGTCTGAACCCCTAAAAGGAAAAGACCATGTCTTTGGGATCTGGACTTTCCGACCAGGCCAAATCTCTGGTGTTCACCTGAGGCTATAATCCTATCAACTGGCCTTTCACTGTGGCTATGCCCAATCTGTTTGCCCAGTTCTGTTCTGTTATCTCTCAATTGCCCCTGGCCACTTCCCACTCTTAATCCTATGTGGTTAGGATTTCTCCCTTGGCCTTGGGATCCAGGTCCCTGACATTCTGTTCACCCCAGCTTACTGTCCACTCCCATCCAGATCCTCCTTAGATCCTCTCCTCCAGTCCCTCCAGAGTACTTGACCACTCTTGAATCCCTCCCACAGTTATTCTGTATATAAGATTCATCTTCTCTCCATTAAGGTGCTCAGATTCTTAAAATCTAGCCAAATGCTCAGATTCCTCAAAAACCTAGCCAATAGCTCACAAATGCTCAGATTCCTTAAGAGTTTGGCCAATATGGCAGATCTTTAATAAACCTTGTCTTTGGCTGAAAGAAGGCTTGGGTCGAATTCATTCTGGCAGGACTTGTGTATCGTGATTTTGGAGTCCCAGTACCCCTCAACTCCTAAAATTCAAGAGGAGAAACCACAACAAAGAAGAAACAAACTAAAAAAAAAGGGAAAAAAGAGAGCGCAAATAAAATGCTTTGATCTGCATTCAGACACTGTAGTTTTTTCTGGATGAGGACAGCATTTTCCATCATGATTCCTTTGGAATTGTCTTGCATCCTTGCATTGCTAAGAAGAGATGAGTCTGTCAAAGTTAGTCATCGCACAATGTGGCTGTTACTGTGTACAATGTTCTCCTGGTTCTGTTCACTTCACTCAGCATCAGTTCATGTAGGTCTCTCCAGGTTTTTCTGAAGTCTGTCTGCTCATCATTTCTTATAGCACAACAATATTCCATGACCATTCATATACTACAACTTGTTCAGCCATTCCCCAATTGATGGGCATCCCTTCAATTTCCAATTCTTTACCACCACAGAAAGAGCTGCTGTGAAAAAAGGGATTCTTATAAGGTATAGTTGTGGGAAACAGAAGGAGGGCATATAGTTGGGATACATAGAGCAGCCAAACTTCAGAAAGTGTTGAGAAAAGAGAGAGTTAAAAAAAAAAAAAAAAGAAAAACCAGTCTGCAGAAGTGTCCCTGCAATTATCTCTATCTAGGAGCAGGGGTGGTTAGAAACTGCTTAGGGTATAGGGGGTAAGGGGATCTTCTTGGGGGCAGTTAGAAACTGCTGGTCAGAACAGGGTAGCGGCCCAGATATTCCCCCAGATTAATGGTACCATCTCCTACAATAGGCATTTCCTGCTTATCCTCCCAGCTGCTGGTAGTCCCTGAAATTTCTTTGTATATACTTATATGTACATGTTTTTCCCAATAGATTGTAAGCTCCTTGAGGGCAGGAATTGTTTTATTTTAATTTTGTATCCCTGTTGTCTACCTAGCACATAGTAGGTGATGTTTGATGATTTATCAACAGATGATGTATGTTTACATCAGCCATGAGGTAACTGAATCCTAGGATTCCTTTCCCGTGGTCATGCTGTGCCTTGCTCAGGGTTGAAGTCAGAGTTGCCTGATCCTGTCTGTCCTGAAGCTTTGAAGTAAATAATTTCTAATACTCTGTGGGTAGGGGTGGGGTAGGGATAGAATGAGATGCAAAACAGTAAAGGAGGGTGAGTACACTTGGTGCCTTTACCTCCCACAAAGGATTATATTTTAAAATCTGTTTCAACCCTTAGTACTGTTTGGATAGCTTAATTTCTTCCATATGAATACTGAATGAAGTCCCTTAATGGCTGTCCATAAAATTGGTAGCTTGATCATGAGGAATTAACTGATTCCCTGTCCCTTAATATGTCCCAGATCTCCTCTGCTAGGTTTTGGTCTATAAACTCTGTCATAACTCAGCCTAGGGACCACAAAGTGATTAGTTGAAGCTTTGAGAGTGAAAGAAATTGTCAGAGAAAGGATCTTAGAGAGAGAAGAGGACTAGAAAACAGAGCCTTGGGGACATCCACACTTAGGGGCCAGGAGGAAGATGCACCAGGGAAGGAGACTGAGAAAATGTTTGACAGGTAGCCTCCGGTCAGTAGTATCAGACAAAGGCCTTTTGTGAAAAATTCCCTAAATTTGTCCAAAATATTAGGAAATGTTGATGGGGGAAACCTGGCAATGTGGGTTCCCTAAACTATGAGGTTGGTACAATCCATCCCCCACCTCAGCAGGTGCTCTTACCTTTCAGATCCAGCATGTTATTTTGGTAAATTCAGCCTCAAATTCATAGGCAAGCAAATAGTTTCATTAGATTAGTAAAAACATGGTAATGTCAAGGAACTTTACATACATATGTTATGGAGTGGAACATTTCCAATTACTCTCCAGCTTCAACACTGCCTTCAAGTTGGAGTCTACTTTTAATCTCTTCAGTTGGTCAACTTGCAAAGGGGAGAAATAAAGTTCACTTACTTAATATTCACTTACTTAATATACACTTCCTGAATTCGGACACTGGATGTGGAGAGTGGTGTTAGCAGTTCCTTCCTATATTTTTAGGGAAACAGGTGAGTAGCTGTGCAGGGGATGATCACAGTTACTCTAGCAATGAGTAATTACTGGGTGGGTACTGACTTTCTCTACTAGTGTCATGGTATCAAAGAGAAATGACATGGTTTAGTCAGTAGATAGAGTGCTGGACCTGGAATCAGAAAGACCTGAGTTTGAATCCGGCCTGAGACATTTACTAGTTGTGTGATACTTACTCTCTCTGGGCCTCGTGTGTTTAGAGATGGAAAGGGTCTCAGAAGTCATTTAGGGAAACTCATCTTTTTTTTTTTTTAAAGACTGGGTCTCCCCATCTTGCAAATATTTTTTTTGCATACTTTTAAAAAAATTTTTTTTTTAGGTAAGGCAATTGGGGTTAAGTGACTTGCCCAGAGTCACACAGCTAGTGAGTATTATGTGTCTGAGGCCAGATTTGAACTCAGGACCTCCTGACTCCAGGGTCAGTGCTCTACCCACCTAGCTGCCCCTCCATCTTGCTTATCTTGGAAGTGTATTGGTCACCAGCCAAATCCCCAAACTGATTGCCCCAAGGGCTTTGTTTTAGTTCCAGGATGGTTTGCCCCTGTATAAGCAGCCTGTTGGCCCCCTGCTCCTGGGGCTTATCGTATGGAAACCAGACTTAGTGTGGACTAGATGCCCTATCAGCTTTGCTCTATTGCAGCTCAAAATTCTGGACTCAAG